GCTGGCCTTGAGCTCACTTTGTAGCCCAGGCTGGTCTCGAACTTGCAATGATCCTCCTGCCTCAGCCTCCCAAGTGCTGGGATTACAGGTGTATGCCACCACGCCCAGCATATATTTCTTTTAAAGAATAATTTAAAACAAGATTGTAGCACTGAAGAAAGAATTGATACCTGAAAAATGAAAAATAAAAATTATTTTGCTGTATGCGTCCCACTATGCAAATAAGTGGTTATGCTACATACATATACACTCCCTGTGGATAGAAAAGGTGAAATAAAGGTGATAAATAACAGTACTTCTAAGTGAGGGGAAATATGTGATATTCCTTTGACGCATTCTTTTATATTCTTATAGCATGAGCAGTGACAGGCATGGAAGATGCCAGTTCTACAAAGTGGCAAGTGTCTTTGAAAACAGAGTCAGATCATTCTTTATAAATTACATATACTTTTAAAAGACGATCAAAGGACTTAAAATTAGTGTATACAGCTAAAGTACACTTTTATACATCTTTAGATGACTACAGTTAAAAAATATTGCCCTTGGGTTTGGGAAATCTTTACCTCAGAGTCTACAAAATGCCTTTGGTAGTAGTAAAAGCCTCTTCGACAAAGGTTACAATGGTTTAGAGCTGTTTTTAGGAAATGTCTTCTGTAAACTTGATGCCAAGTATCCTTAATCTAAATGAGAAAACAAAACAAAAACCAGATTTACTGTACATTCTTCATACTGATCAATCATACTCTCAGAAGTACACAAAATTTATTATAAACAGCTGTGTGTCATGGTGCACGCCTGTGATCTAGCACTCAGGAGGCTGAGGTAGGAGGATCACCATGAGTTTGAGGCCAGCCTGGACTATGTAGTGAGTTCAACGCCAACTGGAACCATACAGTAAAACCATGCCTCAAAAAAAAAGTAACCAGAATTTATTATAAAAAATTTAAATGAAGGCAACAGCAATGTTGTTATTCTACCAAATCGTTTTATACACTCACATTATTTTTCAAGACAAAGATTAGATTCACTGGTTTATGTACTTCAACATCTGCAACGTTTTAAACAGGCCTTGTTGCTACAGTGAATCGTTTTGTAGAGTAGATGGGTGGAGATGATCTTTGCCTGGTTACAGGTGAGAACACTAAGGCAGAAGGATGTTGAAAGCCTCCTCTAAGGAGAGTTAGGTCCAGGAAATGGACCATGTCCATCAACCCAGCTACCTTTCCTTGTTGATTATTAAATTTTACTTATACCAGAAGGATCCCTACCACTTTATGACTCGATAGTCTGTCAAAATTCAGTGCTCTTTCACACAACTATTGCCTTCTGCTGAGAACACGATGGTGAATAAGCAGCTAGAACAAATATCACTAACACCCTTTGACAGAGAACAAAAGAAGCTCAGAGAGCTATCAGGTACAAATGGTAGTATTATGAATAATGTAATGGAGCTGTTTCAGAATGCGTATCTCCTAACATCCTTTTGTTAGAATTTGGCTATGTATTTTAGAGCTTTATAAAATGTACTAAATAGTTTTACTTGGAAAAAATCTGAGATTTTCTTGCTCACAGAAACTTAGATATATATCCAATCCATATCCTATGATATGGGCAAAAGCTTAAAATTAGAAAATCACATAACTTCTCCCCGTCTGTATCAAGAGAAAATCCTTCCTATTGTATTTATCAAAGCATCATCAAATTTAAAAATATTATACAGGTGGAATAACAATTATCCAAAATGTTTGCGACCAGAAGTGTTTTGGAGTTTGGAATTCTTCTGAGGTTTTAAATATGTGCATATACATGATATACCCTGGTAATGTATCACAAGTCTAAACACAAGATCTGTTTATGCTGCACAAGCCCCTTACATACATGCTTGAAGGAAATTTTATACAACATTTTTAGTGTGCCTGCATTTTTTTTTTTTTTTTTGCTACTGGGGATCAAACTCGCAACATTGTGCTTGCCAGACAGGCACGTGCTGCTGAGGTATATCCCCGGCCCAGGTGCCTGCATTCTGATTGCACTCAGGTGTAGAATTTTCCTCTTGTGACCTCCAGATGGAGCTGATGTTTCAGATTTTGGAGCATTCTGGATTTCACTTCCAAGTTAGGGATGCTCAATGTGTACAACTTCTTTGCTAATGAGACCTAGGGCTAATGTGGACAAACTAAATCTATATCCAACTAAAACACCATGTTCAGTTTATAAACAACGTTGGATGTAGGCAGGAACTTTAACTTTTACCATTTTCTCTTCTTGTTCTGACCTCTGGTGGAATTTAAAGTAACTCACATCAAGTACAGAAACAGAAGTAGCAGATAACCTTCAAAAATATTATAGTGGCTCTGAAATATTTTATATGATTACTTTCCCCATTAAATTTACTTCTCTGCATTTAACTTTGCTAGTATTAAAATGAACTTTTGAATTCCTTACATTCTAACTACTAAGTAGTAGGAAACAAAAGCTCAGAAAGTTTAAAAGAATGAATTTCTCATAAATAAGCATGATGAAGCAAAAGATACCCTACAGAGGTAGGCATGGAGACATGCCTATAATCCCAGCACTTGGAAAGCTGAGGCAGGAGGACTGGCAAATTCTAAGCCACTCTGGACTATCAGCAAATGTAATCTAGAGAGACTGTCTTTATCCTCATATTTATCATAAAAGGGGAAAATGAGGTAAAACCCAAAGGTCTTACCCAATTCAATAAAAACTCAGTATTCACATGTTCCCTAGTCTAGATTGGTGGGTGACATTCGACTGTAAACAAACACACATGCACACAGGTACATATATACCTGTGCAAAACAAGCCATATTTAAAGAGGAATTCTGTTTCACAGTCTGAAACAGTGCAAAATAGTACACAGGTCTGGCTGAGATTCATTCCTTTTTACAAGAGCAGCTGCACTTGCCCAAGTAAATCTAGTTTCTTTGTCTAAATTTCCCCACTTACAAGTTAATCTTTAAAAAGAAAGACTGAAAATAAATTTCTAACCTTTACACCATCGAAATGACTTAAGTTTTTGTGCGGGCAAATGTATACACAACCAAAGGAAAATCAAGCCCTGAACTTTGTAAGTAACACACAGAAGAAGCAACATTGTGCTGCGAGAAACAGCGCTGAAGGAAGCAGATTTGCGTTTTCTAGTCACGTTTATTACCAAACTTGGGTCGACTTCAACTCCTCGGGATTCCAGGTTCTTCCGGACCGTGGTTATCTCATCACTTGCAAGATACGCTGGGTGCTCCTCATTGCATTTCAACATCTTCTCCAGTTCGTTCTTGGTTTCATTGTGAACACACTTGAAAATGTTTAAAAGAGGACTGCATTTACATGGGTCATAATTTGGCACTTGTAAAAACAAGTCCCAATTTTAATAAATATATTATATTGCATAATAGTGACCAAATTCTATCACAACAGGTCAGTAAAACCCAGTACCCTGAGTCAGGAATACAGGTAAGTGCCTCTGAACGCAAAGCCACTTGCTTCATGAAAGGGGAAACGCACAGGAACTGGCCCTGTCTGCTGCGGTTTTACTTTTCTACAACAGCACCAGGCACCTTATTGGATGCTTACTTCTCGGACCTTAGGGTTAAATTTGGGTCTAGGAAAAAGTATCCTGAAAACATGGGAAAAGACAATGTTCTATAAATGCTTGTTAGGACTCACATCTACTGATATGATTCCTTTTTGATTAAGTAAATATAAATGCATAGTTTGAGCATTTATTTGTTAAAGAAAGACTTTTCATTAAAAAATCATACTTCAGGGTATCCCTGTGAGGAGCTACCATTCTTAAATCCACTTTCAGCCTCTGTTCACAAATCTCTTCAACAAAGGAGGACATACACTAGTTGTAGGCTTGGAAACAAGACTCTTATACTGTGTCCAATTAATTTTATGTTATCATCTTTCAATCCTTCATTCACTGTACAATAAAAGCTAGCTTCCCACTCACTTGCTACTATAAACAAGCTACAACAGAACTGTCCCAAACAGGACATCTACCGAATTTGAGTATTTAATAACAAGCTACCCTGTAAATGGAACTATGAATCAATACTCTGAAAACACGACACTTTAGGAGAAGTATTTCATAAACCACTGCCTACTTGCACACTTCTAGTCAGCCCCAGGTAGGAGGGAAATCTCGCCTCGCCTGTTTTTGCTGCTGCCTGTCCACCACCACCTCTCCTGTTACCTGGCACTTAGCCCTCCAAACACAGCTTCTCTCCATTGTGTCCTGACCATTAGTCCAGCTCAGGTAAGCTGAGAATGTTTCAAAGGGTGGGATTCTTCTAGAAAACTAAAGAAAAAGTGACATGGAATAGTACCCTGCATATCGATTTCTCATCTTTAACACAGGAAAAACTCAAGTTTGTTTTCCTGCTAAATCTGGTCACTCAGAAGACAGGAGGACTCATTACACAGCTGCTTAAACTTGCCACACGAGCTCTGCGGATATTCTCAATCTTGTCTAGAGTCCGTTTCTCACTGTAACCTCCAGGTATGAAGACTAGAACGGCGGTTTACAGTGGGACTGGGAGGGATAGAAAGTAATGTCAGAGGCTGACTCAGTGAGTCTAAGATGATGCTATCTTTGAAAGGAAACAGAATATGGACAAGCTTCCCCTGGCGATTCTACAGCCCCAATGTGGCTTCTGTTCTACCGTCAGCCCGGGTATCACACATGCCACTCTGAAACTCTGTGGGGAGAAGGCTCTTCTCTGAAGGGCTCCCCGCTTCCACTTCTGGGCTCACAGGTCCTCTGCACTGACCTTAAACTCCTTTGCTTCTCTTGAAGGGAATTTTCAGTGTTCTACTTCTGGGGAAAATAACCTATAACCAGGAACCCTTTCTCTCCAAAGGTGTTTGGGCAAAGCATAGTTACACTTATTGCTGAGGCAAGTGCTGCTCATGTTGACTGTTCTTAAGGCTTTAGTTTTTTTTTTTTAGGCCTAATTTCACTGAGCCTTGAAGGCCAGATGCCATTTTTCTCTTGAGTATATCTGCCTTACGCCAGCCCTTTCTAATCAGTTCTTTCTGTCTAGAAGCCAGAAACCTCTGCCGGATCCCCTAGAAATTCTTTTCTGATGGACATCCTCCTCTTGGCCTAGCTGTATGGCGGAGATAACCGATGCACCCTGAACAGGCCCGACCCAGTCCCTAACGCTGTCCCTGTCCCCTGCTTCTCTGTAGGCTCTTATGGACTCATTTTCCACAGAAACCATAGCAGTGGAGAGAAAAGAGGAGGAAAGGGAGAGAAGAAAAGGTGTTTCTTGATTATTCTGAGGCAAGTTGAGACACCTGATAGGGAACTTGTGAAACAAGAAATGTGGGGAATTAGAAAAAACCAGAGAATTGATGAATGACATAATTTAATTCACTATATTTAAAATGAAAACATATGTTAAAAAAAGGAGACTTCCTGTGGCAATTTTTCATTCTGTTTACCTCCTCTCCTAATTTTTCTGTTTTGGTTTCCTTTTCTCAAAGTGGGTGGATTCAAGCACCAAAGGAAATAACACAAAGTAGGCTGCATGCTAACTCTTTATTCACCACTTCTCTCAGGTGTAGATTCTATTTTCTATTTAGATGCCTTGACTTGAGGAATGGAGGTAAGACTGCCTCAGCAGAGTAAGACTGCATGCTGGACAGGAGAAGAAGCCACCACAGAGATGGGGACAGGGACTTCACATTCTCTGGAAATCCACTAATTTTTAAAGTTATTTATCCTTTAGCTTTACCCTTTTGTAGAAGTGATCATTAAAAGTCTACTAAAGGGATAAATTCTACAATTCTACCTTCTCTCTGAATTTTCATATGTATTTTCCAAACAGGAACAAAAAAATACAAAAGAACAAAATAATTTAAGTAGACTTCCAACAGAAGAATCCAGAGATAAAAAAAAAATCATTATATCCTTTTCCCTCCTAATCGCATTCACTGTACATCCTCTGAAATCCTTGTCATTTTTCTCTGCTTATAACTTTTGATTTTTTAAAAATCCCAAATAGGGAATTGAAATGAATCAAGTAATTGACCCTAAAAGGGCATGTCTCACATCTCTTTAATAACGCAGTTTCTTCACTGTTTAAAAAACTCTCTTAGATATCTGAAGTTAAGATTTGTCTGGAGCCAGGCCAAGGCTGTGTTTTAAGGCTTGAACTAGAATGAAGCGAACTGCATCCCTATGAAACCAGGGATCTGCTATTACCTGTTCTTGGGTCCTGTTCTTCCAGTACAACCACCTTTTTTTCCAGTCTGGACCTATCATATTTTCAATTGCATTTTCAGCTAGAAAGAAATTGTAAACATTAATCAGAATTTTACCACTTACAATGGGCATGTAACTGTAAAATGTTCTTATAACTAATAATAGTCTTTGCTTCTTAACTACTTTGAAGTGCTATATCAATATGAAATCAGCTGAAGTAAAAAAACTAATTACATGGTACATGTATGAGAAAACCACAGACAGTATGTATTTAAAAGCTTTGAAAAGTACCATTGTTTATAGTATTCCTGTAAGGACGGTAGCAAACACAATAGTCTGAAATATAACATTGTAGAACATGAGTGCATATAAGTGTCATGTGTCCAATTTATTTAATGTCATAGTTACAAAGTAACTGACAGAAAATCCCCCCCAGTCACATTTCACTTATTAATGACGAAGACCTTTAAATGCTAGTTATCATCTCACAAATGTTCACTGAAGCAGGATGAGTACTTCGGCACCGCAAATGCTCAGAGCCCAACAGCCCAAGTCCCTGCTTACTGTCTCTGAGCCGAGCCTGAAGGGCCTCTTCCATGAAGTAAATAGCTGCGTCCCACTGCTGCTTATCAGATATGGACCGGTCCTCCAGCGCATTGTGCTGAATAACCCTCTGGAATGGCAAGCACAGAACAGGCTCATGTGCTTTCTGTCCTCTCAGAAATTTTATTCAAATACACATAGTAAATGTCCAAGATAAAGAGTATGTCCTTCCCACAAAAATGCAGAGTGCCTTTGCTTTCCTTTTTCTCAGACGAGGTTTCGCTATGTAGTCCAGGCTGGCCTTAAAATTACTAAGTAGCTCAGGATGGCCTTCAACTCAGGGTGATCCTCCTGCCTCAGCCCCTTCAGTGCTGCGATGACATGTGTGTGCCACCATGCCTGGCTAAGACTGCCTTTTTTTATGCGTGCCTGCCATATTTCTATCTGAAAAATACACAGTGCAGATTCTCTCTTGGCCCAAATGAAACAAGTTAATAGAAATACACAGAAATACACAGACAGAGAAAGAATGATAGGGGTAGGTATACTGTACATCTAACTACATACAATGCCATACCCAGAAGCCTAATATTTAAGGGTTAAAGATTTAGATTATCTTCACTTCTCCTTTTCCCCATATGAACTATGCAGTAACATTTTCAAAATGTTACCATTTTCCCACTGTTAACAGCAATAAAAATATTTTACATGGTAAATTCCTGAAAAGCCTAGACATAAATGTTAGCTGTTTATTACAATTACAAACTGGTTTCAAAATTTCATAAAATTTTTTTTCATTTTTAGTACTAGAGATTGGGGTCTTCCTAAATTGTAGACTGGCTTGAAACTTGCAATCCTCCTACCTTAGCCTCCAGAGCAGCTAGAATTATGTGCCATCAGGCCTGGCTCAAATTGTGTAACTTTTGAGTGAATGAATGAAAATGACACCATTCTCCCAGAAAGCCAGTCTTTAAGACACTTAACACAAATAAATACATTTTTCAAACATTTCAGAACAAAATTATTAGCCAGTCATGCTGATTCGGGCCAGTAATCCCAGCATTCAGGGTGGCTGAGGCAGGAAAATCAAAAGTTTGAGCTCGTCTTGGTCAACTTTGTGAGATTCCGTCTCAAAAAGTCAACTGAAAAAAAAAAAAAAAAAAGGCAAAGAAGAAAGGGATGGAGATGTAGCTCAGTGGGAAGGCCCTGGATTCAATCCCTAGTACCACACAAAAACCAAAACAAGCCTAAAAAACCTACTAGTTCATGGAGAGATATGTACTTTTCAAGAACATTGCTCAATCCTTTCACTTAACAGTACTTCTCCTGGCTCTTCAGGCCGAGCAGGTGACTTGACTATTAAAGGTTTAACTATGGGAGGGGCTCCTGAGGTCGTGGAGGTCAGGAGTCAGGCTCTGCTGTCAGACAGAACAGGCCTAGACTCTGCTTTGCCAGTGGCGAGCCTAGGACTGGTTAAGGATTAAGCCGAACGATGCTGTGAGCTTTGCAGCAGAGTTCTTGGCAGTCGCATTTACTACCCAGGGGTAAGTGCCGTGATCGCAGCCTTGGCTACCTGCAGACAGGTGTGGAATGGCTCATGGATGACAGCGTGTGCAAGTCTAAACCTGTTTATTGTAAAACTTTGTTTTTCTCTGAAATGACAGCCAAGAAGGAAATAGCAAAGGGTGACTTTTAGAAGGGAAAATGGTAAAGGGCCAATTACAGATTATAAATGTTTCTATATGTTAAAGTCAGGTAGGGGCTGAGCGGCACAGTACCAATTCCTGGTACCGGAAGAAAAACAAACAAACAAAAAATAAAGTCATGTCAAAACAATCTCCCGTGAAAGAACATCAGCACGAACAGTTATTTTTCAAACGATGCTGACACTGTAAGTGCCGTACCAAGCTGTCCTCTGCAAAGTCATTCCACTTGTGGCGCTTAACACTTTCCTCCTTGACAGCTTCTTTAAGTTTATCAAATATGTCATCGTGTTCTTTTCCTTTCGGTTCTGTCATGAAGCGGGAAAATTCTTCTTGTAGGGTCTCCCAAGCAACCTAGAATTGTTTAAAAGAAGAAAAATAGCTGGATTTATCCCAAGTACTTTTATTTAATATGTAACAGGAAAAATAACACATGAAAAGAAGCCAAAGAGATGCAATAGATCAGCTTATTAGAAAATACATATAGAAGTACATTAATAAAAAAGTAGCACATATAAATACGGTCTAGAGGTCTCACGCTGGTATGGGGTAGAACAGATCTAAATTTGGTCTCCTGATAAGCTTTTTTAGACAAGCACAATGGTTTACAGCTTAAAAATTATTTGTCAACATTAAAAACTGAGAAACTGTACACGGGCATCTGGTGTCCAGATGAGCACAGTGGGAACAGGATGCCCATCTCCCCACACGACTACCTGGAGAGGCCAAGCAGGACCCTCGCATCTGGAGCTGCATTCCAAGCCTGGCTTCAGACTCAGTTCACTCATTTACTCTAAACTGCAGGCTTCTGAGTCTATGTTCGTTCCACACCATACAAAGATTTAACAGTTCTTAGTTATGAAGTCAGCTGTCTTCGCATCTTTGCCTTTAGGCAAAGATAAACTTTCAAACATAGCTAAGTGTTATACTTACATAATTAATTATGTAATTATGTGAAGGGAAAACACAGTGCCAAAACTAACTACATTTAAATATGATTTAGCGGCTTTCAAACTTTGGGCTTTATGTTTACCCCATCTTCATTTTAAACACAAAGAAATTACAGTATAAAGACAGGTGATTGTCCAAAAACACACAGTGAGTGATAGGTGAGTATTCAAATCCATACTGCCTAACGCTCCCCTGTAAGATTCTTCCCACTGCACCTAAGGCTGAAGGCACGAAGTGCCAGGAGGCAGAATCAGTGCACGTTTGATGACCGCCTCCACCGCCTGAGCCTTACGCTAGGAAAACCCCTGCTCACAGGACAGGGCCAGAAGACTATGAGGGAGAGCAGTGGGGAGCTAGGCACATGCGGCAGCAGCTCTCCAACTGCTCTTGGGGTAGACACGCTAAGAACTGACCAGGGGTCAGCACTAGGCAGCTCAGGCAGAGAGGCTGCGACAGTTCTCAGGAGCCTGGAGGAATCGAGAGCAGAGTGAACAACTCAGCAGGGCTGGGGTGGGACAGGAGAGAAGTAGCGACTTTGAACACCGCCTCCAGTTCTGTGAGCAGCCTCACACGGAGCACAGGACCCTGACTTGTGGCTAGAACACTCTGCATTAGACGCAGGGCAGATCAGCCTAAATAACCAGCTACTATCAAGCCATTTAGTCCTTATAACAATGCTGTGAGGCAGACACTATCGCCCCGTTTTTTTGACGAGGAAATAAAGATTAAAGCAAAGAGCCCAACAATCACATAGCTATTAAGTAGGAGGGCAAAGACGCAGGGGTAACAAAATAGATTTTTAAAAGTAGTTTTTCATAATTTCTAGTTTAATGTGGTAGGATCCTAACGAAGAAAATGATTATGTAAGTATAACCAATTCCTCTGGAACATTAACAAATAAAATGACTAATCGATTGAGCATTTTCCTTATAAAATCTCAATCTATGGAAGTTCAAAATATTTCACACTGAAGCAAATTTTGCTAGCTTTCTTAAATATTACATTTGGAAGAAGAGCCAATGCCTTCCAATACTATCCCAATCAGTACATTTTCCCAATTAGTCCCTGTAGCAGCATTTCGGTGAGCCCCAGAACACAGATGTAGGACAAAGCGTAATTGGAATATAAAGCCCCAAAAGAAGAGACAGTGGCTGTGATGGGAATAAAACCTGAAACCACAGCTCTTATTCCCTTCAGATAGCGCTTCTTACCCATTTAATTAAATTAGAGCCTAACCTCTACTGCTTTATTGGGAAGCTGCTTATCAGTCCACTGTTTAAGCTTGATATCCACGGTAGTATTAAAAGTTCCTGAATTCATGGTTTGTGCAGCAGGAAGATAGATGTTTTCGATCACATGAGTTGATACTCTTTCCCACAAAGACTGCTGAAGGATTTCCTCCCTGCAATTAAAAAAATAATCTTTCAAGAACATCAAATCAAAACATACTAAGTTTTTAACAGCAGCTTGACTGAAGTATCGATTGCACATATGTACGGTTTTGACATGGGTGTACGTCTGTGAATCACGGGAATCAAGACAGCAAATGTGTCACATCAACCCCCAAAGTTGTAACGACTCGCTCTGCCATCACTATGATTAATTTGTATTTTCTACAGTTTCTTTTATACGAATGCACCACAGAGCATGTACTCGGGTACTTTTTTGTCCATCTTCTTTCACGCAGCAAAACTGACAAAATTATTTTGAAATCCATCCTACTGTGTATATTATATTTCTCTATTTTAATTGCTGAGTAGTACTCCACTGTCTGCACGTGTTGGCTGTGGTACATAAAGCTGCTATGGGCGAACATTTATAAATCTTTGTGTGGCTGTATGCCGTTGTAAAAGCTGAATGGTTGGATCCCTTGGGAACTACACATTTAACTTTTTAAGATATTACTGGATGGTTTTCCAAATGCTTACACCATTCTGCATTCCTACCGGCAGAGAACTGGAAGCCGTAGGCCCTCTACATTTCTGACAACACTTGGTGCGATCAGTCTTTCCCTTCACCTGCTCTAGTACGTCTGCGGTGGCATCTCACTGTGGTGTACAGTTACCTAATGACTGGTCATTCTGAGCCTCTTTTCATGCTCTTATTTGCCTGGAATTAACACATAACCCTTATGTTTTTACTGTGAAGTCCATGACTGAAAAATTTTTTTTTTGGTGGTACTGACGACTGAAACCAGGCCCTCCGTGCTAAGCTACACCGCCAGGCTCAACCCCACCACCCTTACGTTCTGTTTTGAGACTGGGTCTTGATAAGTCACTAAGCTGCCCACAGCGGGCTCACATTTGTGATTCTCCTGCCTCCTGGAGTGCTGGGATTATAGGTGCAAACCACCATACCTGGTCAAGACTGAAAAACTATTTGCCGAAACTTTTATAATTTATCGGACCACATCACAAAGCATAGAAATATTATGAGATACTGCTAGATTAAATATGTCACCATTTCGTGATTAAGGTAATGATATATAAAAGATACAAAATCAAGTAAAAAATTTTGCTTTAAAAGACATTTTTTAGCTGGGCATGATGGCACACGCCTGCAATCCTAGCACTTGAGAGGCTGAGGCAGGAGGATCCCTGCAAGTTTTAGGCCAGTCTGAGCTACACAGTGAGTTCAAGGCTAGCCTGAACTCCATAGCGAGACCCTGAATCCCCCTGAAAAAAAAAAGATCCTTTAACACCAAATCTCTAAGCAAAAGGCAACTATATTAAGGACATGTGTATTCGGCTTACCCTGAATTAAAGTCTACTATAATAGACTACTACAGATTAAAAAAAAAAAAACCCAAACTGTATGGTTTATCAGATGATCAGTCTTTTTTTTTTTTTGACAGAGTCTTGCTATAAACTTGAACTCACTATGTAGTCCAGGCTAGCCTTGAACTTGGGCAATCCTCCTGCCCCAGCCTCCCAAGTACTGGATTATACATGTGTGCCACTAGACCCGGCTGTCCGATGGTTGATCTTTGGAGTAACCTCAACTGTGTAGGATGCAGCCACAGTGCTCAGGGTAGCAGAAACATCCCCTCTGCCCCTAGGCCAATGGCACTCTCTTAGGTGAGCAGAGTCTACATTGCAACCTTTCCAACCCCTAACTAAATGGTCTGTGCAAAACTAACTCCCCTGAACCAAAGCCCTTAGCTGCTGGCTTCATCTCAGTAACGTGGTCTTTACTCTAACCAGAAAATGAAAGAATATATGGAGAGGCTGCATCTCCAGGAGCTCCCGACAGTGTAGGAGGATTTAAGAAGCAAGTGGAAGCAAAGGAGCTCACCAGGGCCTGCGCTTCAGATATCACTTTAAACACAAACTCACGATTTCTGAGAGGTGAACGGAAGAGCAGGACTCAGCCTCTGACAACCAGGACTCTTCTGTTTGTGTCTCAGAAGAGATCTGGTCTGTTGTTTCTTCCTAGAAATTCTGTGGGCAAGGAATCTACACCCTAGACACTCTTCAAAGAAAACATAACCAAACTCCAGACTACAAGCCTGCTGCTTTCTGACCCCCAGCAGGGGCCACCGTCACCTGTCGCTGCCACCTGTTCTTACCAGCCTCTCCTGGCTTCCACCCCCGAGCTGCTGTCCTTGTCCCAGACTCCCACTGCTCTCCTCTACCACAACTTCCATCGTGTCCCCAAGGTCCGTGCCGTAACAAATGAGCCATCTCATGTCCTCACTCTCTTCCTCTGGTCTTTGGGCCTCCAGATTCTCTGGCCCTCCCCGAAGCAGCTGAATGTGCTTCAGAGTGAAGAAGCGGAAGCTGCGTCCTCCTCACTTCACGGTCTCTCTGCGGGGTCATCAGTCCTCCACTGGCCCTCAAAACTTCCACACCGTGTGCCATCTGGTTGTCTCCTGTTCGTTGCTGTCATCACCCATTTCCCCAGCACGTGTTCCGTAAGCTTACAGACTTACAGTCGCTACCATCCAGGGGTAGCTCCCATAGTTACATAAAATGCACCCCACACTGCAGCTTCACCTCTTCATCTCCCAAAACTTTACCTACACTCCATTTTAAAGAAAAAACATTTTCAAAATGAAACATTTTTCTTTTAAAGGAGAGAACTTGGTTAACATAATTTCAACCAATACAGAAAAAGTGGTAAGCCCCTGTAATTCCTCTTTAGGAGATAACTACTTTCCAGTTTATCATTAAAAATATAATGCCCACGTAAGTATTTATATGGGTATATTTACACAGTGGACCATACTCTCCATATTGCTTTATAAATGCTTTTTTAACCTACAAGTATACTGTCTACAGCTTCTCATGTCAATGTCCACATTTATCAATTGCGGCATAGTCATCTACCCTATCAGTAAGTTAAATACTATGCAACACCAAATAAAAAACATGAATTGCACTATTTTTTACATTTATAAACAAAACTATGGTGAAGACTGTAAGTTTAGCTTTGTCAAATGTACTTTTGTTTCCACATATTCCCAGCAATGCCTATTAGATATTGTTTATTCACTGCTTATAAGCTCTTCATTATCTACATATCCAATCACAAAATCATGTTAATTCTAATTTTTTTTAGCTGACCTCTCAAATATCTCAAAAAGCCTTCTCTTCTTCGGCTGCATCCAGACCACCATCATCTCCACTGCAACAGCTAACTGGCTCCTTGCTTCGTGTTCTCCAGTGGTATTCCAGCTTCCCCACCACAGTGATCTGTAGGAAATGCAAACCTTACCTAACCCTCTTCACGCTTGTGGGATAGATCCTGAACTAAGACTTAACAATCTTGCATACAGCTACTGTTTCACCTCCTGCTTCTTAGCTCCGTCATCCTGCCTGTTATCTTTCTTGCTTGTACCTCCTGGCTTTGCAACACCTGCTTTTACCTCAGACCAATTCATCCTTTAAATCTCAAGATTATGATACTGAAAATCATCTGATTCCTAAAATTTGAATTACAACATTCAACTGTGTTCTTTTTTTCTTGTACTCTTTTTAGCTAAATCAAAATAAACAATATTTTCATAAACATTACATGCATATGATAGAGTAGATGTCTATGAAGCCAGCCAGTAAACCTATGAGAAAAGATGTATTTGGATTGACAGTCATATAATTTTAATGACATGCCAGTATCTCCTGCCAACATTAGTAGTCAATTCTTGATAATCAGGTACACTGTGTGAAAATACAGTCAATTTACCACTATAATGCTTTACTGTCAAATCTAAACCCTATTAACTTTCTTAAAACCTAACTCGAGTTAGGAGAATGTGTACAGATGTGGAACAAACTGCCATCTTAGGACCTAAAGTGCTTACAACACTGCTTCCAGGTGCCAAACGGAGATCAAACATCCTGCGACTTACCCGTCTCAGGCATGCACCCTAAAATATCACACAAGGCATCATGCAGCAAAAACACACCAATAAGGGCAACACCAACCATGTCACAATTAAATGCTTTTATTACGATGCAGTTAAATTCAATGTGGTAAGAACAGTTAGGTCTTGCTAGTCTGATCTGTACATTAAGCTCTAGAGCTAGAAAAACAAATGATGAAGACAACAGAGAATCATTTGCTCTAGTGGCACTCAGACCTGATACTCCAGCAGCCAAGTGTCCTAGATTTCCCCCCGCCTTTTCAGTGAGCAACCTGGGTTCTTATTCCTTCGCAATCCCTTAGATCAGTGGTGGCAAACCTATGGCATGAGTGTTGTGCTTTTCTTTTCAGACAAAAGATGTTAATGTATGAGTTGTTTTTTTGAAACGAAAACCTCACTATTCATGTTTAACTGCAGTGTTGGTACTTTGCAAAAAATAAGTAGGTTTTGGGTTACAGTTTGGCACTTGGTCTCTAAAAGGTTTTCCACCACTGCCTTAGACCCTGCATGTTACATACATGATATTCACCCTCTACGTTTGCTTCAGTGTAAATATAATTTCATTTTAGGGCTACTCTATCCAAAGAAAACTAACATTTCTATTCGATGATGCTGGAAATTAATTTGCAAAGGATCACATTTTTCCTGTTATAAACAGCATTGAATGTTTTAATCATTTTTGATGTATATTACATCTCATATACCCTCAAAAGGCAACTAGTATTATACTCTCTCAGCATACACACACACACACCCTGTTTATCTGTATTTGTCTTACAACTTCCAAAGCTAACGGACTTACACATGTCTCCTTTCGGATAAGGAGAGATGAAAATGCGCAAATACTGACTCCTGAGGACAGAAGAGGGATCATCACCGGTATCAACAAGAAAGAAACAAAGCTGACATGAGGAAACTAGGGAGAACAAATTCCAACTTAAGGACCAGGCCCTTGTGTCTCGAGAGAAAACCTTTAACTGAGCAAATACAAAAGGTATTGAAAATGTTTTCCACGAATGGTGCTAAGTATAGCTCTGCTTCAAGAATACTAAATTCTTAAAAACAGACTTCATTAGGAAGATAATTTAGGCATGAGGAATTTGTTAATTAAAATACAACCACAAAAACTTTACACAGGCATACTTGCAGTGCATGCAGTCTGTTTGTAATGCTGCACTCCAACAAATTTTAAAATGCTCAGATTTCCATAAAACCTAAGTAGAAAGTGATGGTTTGCCTTAAGAGACTCACATGAGAATTTTTCAAAAGGATGCATTCACTTGCTTTTAAAAAATCTTAAATAGGATTCAACTCAAAATGTTATTTATATATAATTGAGCACATATTAATAGAAAGCACCAACTATGCTCACTCCAAAATGAGAACTTGAAAATATATACTGCTGTTTTATAAACCAATTTTGCCTTGTTTTGCTCTGTATGATTCATCTAACAACAATCACTAGTCCCAATAGAAAGTACAATTTTATGAAACTTCCCTGAAATGATTTTATAGAAATCAAGACCATACATTTATTAAGTATAACATAAAGAAATGATGAAGATGACTGCAGATGTAACAAGAATACAAAAAGCAAGTTACTGTCATGGTTTAGCTCTAAAAGGGCCCCAAAGCCTCCCATGTGTGGAAGGTGATTCAATTACGGGGTGCTGTACCTGGCTATCAGGAGGGAGGGCCTAGTTAGTGGTGTGTGTGAGACCTGGAAGAGCGCACCTCCTTCACCGCCCCTCCCTCCTCTCTCTGCCTCCTGGCCACCACAAAGTGAGCAGCTCTCCTCCATGGCAGACCCTCCCACCACGCCATTTCCACATTGCAGCCTGCCAACCATGGACTGAGATTTACGAACCTGTGGGCCAAAGCAAACCTCTACTCCTTCAAGTTGTAGGTATTGCGTACTTGTCCCAGCAAAAAGAGAGTGACAAGATGGCTATCTTCCAGGAATTCAGTTGGCTAGGCTACAATAACAGCTATTTTGTAAATAGACATGCTTTTATCTTTTGCCTACTTTTAGGGTTGACCCATGGCAAAAAAAATCACTATTCTATCAATTTAAGTTTCTTTTTTTTTGGTTTTTCTCCGGTACTGGGAACCGAACTCACGACCTTGCGCTTGCCAGGCAGGCGCTTTTGCTGCTGAGCTAAATCCCCAGCCCCTTCATTTTAAGTTTCTATCAATTTCAGTTTGAGTATTTCATTGTAACTCATATATAAAGTGGTTGAGACAGGGACAGTAGCAAAGTCAAATACTCACCAATGTTTTGGTGTAACCTGGCTCAGACTGATAACTTCATCAAGGATCTCATTTTTAGCTTTTTCAAACAGTTCATTCTGGGCAATATAGATAGAAAGAAGTAAAATTTTCATAAGAAAACAGTAGTAAATTTGCTCTGTCATGATTTTAAGAGATAACCAAAAGGAAATCTCTGACAGGTGGATCAGCTAGGCATAGGTCTGAACATGCAGAATGTACAAAAATGATCTTAGAATCTCTCTTTCAGGAATATCATTACCCAGATAAAGTCAGAGACACTGACGCAAATGTCCACCTTGCTCAACTCTGAACGCTATTTTCTGCATAGTATTTGTTCATGTAAGATTCCCACAAACTGTTATGTGACAGTACCAGCACACACTCACTGTAGTCTACGTAAACAGTAAATTAATGCTGGGTTTTGTAACTACTGGCACTTTAAAATCAAGGAACAACAATATTTAAATTAAGAGTACACTTCGGCAAAGTATTTTTTTTGGTACCGGGAATTGAACTCATGACCTCAGGCTTGCCAGGTAAGTGCTTATGCCACCGAACTATATCCCCGGCCCCACTTCTGCAAAGTCAACGCTGAGAAGGCAATGCAATAAATAAAAAAGTAGATCATGTAAATACATTAATTCTATGATCTTTAAAGAATATTCCTTACCTTCTCAGAAAATATTTTAAATACTACTTCTGACAGCTTATGCTTCCTACTTGCCTTACAATATTCCTTAATAAACAATTTAAATTACTATACAAGATATAAATGTTCCTGAGTACTTCTGGTCAATGCCAAAGCAATTTCAGGTTAACATATTTCTGTCATCAACATCAATTTTATTAGCATTCAGTAATTAAGACATATACAAAATATATGAGGTATTCAAATATTACCTACCCGGTCAAGTTCTCGTAGGCGAGGATAGTTATTCTTCCACTCAGTTTCAAGGTTAAAACGCGTTGCTAAAGAAGCAAAAAAAAGTTCAAGTTTAATGGTTTTTTCTTTCCAGATATGGTGGTTAATGGCTATCTTGCCTATCTTCTGTATTAACTAGATTTCTGAGGGTGCTCCTATAGCTTCTTAGTACTCTGGGCTCTCAAAACCTCAGAATTTCATCATTGCAACAGCTAGTCTTGATTCTAGTTTCTCCAGTTTCATTTCACAAATCCACAGCCCCAGCAGCTAAGCACGAGGAACGGACTGTGGAGACGTAAGATACTGCTGAGATTCACATCTCCCTGCTGTATGACTCTGGCTGTGTAAGTTACTTTGCACCTGTTTTCTCTACTGTCAAACAGGAATAAAAATAAGACTAGGTGCTACGTGGGACAAGCAAGCAAGCTTTCCACATGGAACCGGAAAGAGGGTGCATTCTCATCAGATGACATCACAGAAGCAAAGCCTGGTGAGGGCAGTGTGGGGAGCAGTCGGGGGCAGTGTGGCGCTTCCTAGGGTACTTCCCAGGTGCTCTGCTTCCCAGGAGCTCCTTCTATCCTTCCTAAAAAAGGAGCCCATGTTCTCTGTAGTTTGCTAATCTTCCCTGCACACAGCACTGTAATGTGCTCTTGAATGCTGCAATGTGCTCCTAGCAATGTTCCCTCTGAAAGAGAAAATCTTGTTCTTGTCTAATGGAAGGGTTTCATTTTTCCATTTTCTACAGATTGCCTAATAGTAAATCAAATACTAAACAACTTCTAAAGAGAATGAAAAATCGGATGGATACTAAAGATTTCCAGCTAATGAAATGTCTAAATTTGTTTGCTTATTTTAAACTTCAACTTACCCTTGAAACTGTCAGCCTGTTGTTCAACTGACTCTCGCACCATTTTCCAAAAGCAGTCTGACACAGCGAGGCTTAAGTTTCTTGTCGTCACCTGGTGTGCCTTCAGCATACTGGTTCTACGTTTTTAAAAAGTTAAAATATATTAAAGTCATAAAGGGACAATAACATTACCACCAAGTGTGAGTGCCCTTGTGATAATGGGAACAGTTACTTACATCTTTTGTACCAACACCCTGAAGTGAAACGCTCCAGGATGAAGAGAATGTTCCATGTCTGAGCTGTCTAATAAGGTAACTACCAGCCACATGGGTTACTGAGCCCGTGAAATGTGTGACTGCTATGACTGAGGAAATGAATTTAGAATTGTATTGAATATTAACTATTTTAAAGTTTCATTACCACACAGGACTCGTCACTACAGTTCCACAGGCTTGTCAGTGTGTCTTCTGAATATATAATTTCCCAGACTACGTTTGCAAGAACTATTTTGATTTACTATACTGATCTACAGGTAAATACACTTCTCTATTTCCAGAGATGTTCTACATAAAACATTTTAGTGTAATTCAGTTGCTCTTTGGCTCCTCCTTTTTGCTTTTTGGTTAATACCTTATTTTCTGTCAATTTCTATCAATATTGATTTAGGGATATTTCCTTTGACACCCTCTATTTTAACCTTCCCTAATACTGTAAGAAATGTATAGACATATTCTAAAAATAAAGTGTTAATTTTTAAAAAAATCACTTGTTAAATAAGTGCATGCTATGTCCCCATGTTCACGTGTCCGGGCAGTTTATCTTGCTCATATGCTGCACATGCAGGAGGTGTGATAAATTGATTCTAATCCTGCTGAAAAGCAGCTGAGACCTGCTTATCAGATACAGACCACTATTCAATGTTAAACTAACAGTTACAAAACATGAGCTTTTAAGTGAACACAGTTCAATTTAAGTTACTGTCTCATTGTAAAATCTTTAAAATCTTTAAATATTTTAACAGGATACCTACTTTAGGAGTTTTGAATTCTGAAAAAATTCCTCCTCATATTCTCTTATTGCTTCAATGCTTTCAGAGCTATTTCCTACAGAAAGACAACAACAAAATTTTCACCAAGAAAATATATTTTCTCAAAGTAAAAATGAAAAACAAAAAATCCCCTCTAAAACTAAACTATAATAACCCAGTTTTGCATACCTTTTCCTGTTACAACAGCAAAATAACCTAGAGCCTTCATTGGAAATAGCTTTCCTTCAATTATTTGTTGAATCTATTTTAGAAAGTGGGAAAAATAAATGTGAGATATATGCTTACGTAAATTTTAAAAGAATATTATTACTCAAAAAGTAAAAAACCCAAGGTCACTATACATATATATATTTATCAAAATATATAAACCTATGCAACAGCATTGACGTACACTTCAGCTGCTATTTGAGGAAAGATAAATACATGTAATTTTACTACACTGAAAATGTCTCATTAAGGTATGTGTACCAAAATGAAAACCTGGTGCGATGGGTAGTGTTTTGGAGTCAGAGTCTATAGTCCGAACACTTGCTCTGCCACTCATTAGCTACAGGGCCTGAAGTAAGTGACGTAACATTTTCAGAAAGGTTGCTGAGATTATGAGATACTCAGCACAGTGCCAGCCACGGAGAAACACTCAGTAAATGTCAGCTTTTATTATTATAGCCCCATAATTTCTTCAAATATCTAATTCTAATCAAGTTGGACTGACTGTTGTTATTCTGTCTGCCCCCATTTCCCATTCTAATACTTGGATCCACTGATTCTCAATTTTTTTATGGTCAAAATTCTTTTCCGGAGTATGCAAAAAACCAGACTCTATACCCTGAAAAGTGCAGAGATGTACATTCAGCTACACATGATGTAAAAGTTTCTACCCTGAGACACACTGAGATCAATCCTGGAGTAAGAATCCCTCCTTTAAGACGAGTTACCATCCACATGAATGCTGAACCTTTGAGATTAAAAAGCCTGTGTTTCAAATGAAGTTCAAAGAGCAGAAAGAACAGAGAAGAGGAGAAAGCAATGAAAGGAATAGGGAGAAAGGGAGCCCACTTTGCCCTCCTTTACTTCAGGACCACTCCCCCATCGCAGGCCTCACCCTTAAAAGCAAGGCAAGCAGAAGCCATGGAGAACAGGAAGGAAAGAGCTAACACAGCAGCAGGCCTGAGGCCCCTTAAAAAGCCCCGCCTGCCTCTGCCTGGTATCTGGAAACTTAACTGGAAACAACTGCCTTCACTGACATAAAACTTTCCCTAAACAGTGGCTCATTGTGCAAGCAATGTGTCTCATGCTGAACATCGCTTTTCTTTTGGGAGTCTGGAATTTTCATACAATAAATATGATGCTGACCTAAGCAGCTTCTGATAAAAGCCTTAGGTGCTGAGTCTCGATGTGCACTTATTTTACATACATTAACTATGTTATATATGGCCTAAGACAATTCCTCTTCATTAGGTAAGTGTGACCCAGGCAAGCCAGATATGTCCAACTCACAGGAAATCAATGAATCTAGGTTGCCCTGTCTGGGAGATCTCTGACACAGGCATAGTCCCAGAAAGTGTAAGTGGGAAAGAGAGACCTTCTACACAGTAGCAGGAGGGATGGGTACCTAATGTCCCAAGTTGTTCTATGGGAGATAACGATACGACAATACTAAGAGATGATAGCCATTATATATACAACACTTGTGCCAAGCATCATTTCAATCAATTTACAATATTTACCTAGCTCACTATACCTTTACAACCTATGAGAGAGTACCACTAATATCTGCTTCTACCAGATGGGGAAGTCTAAAGTACTGCAAAGTTAAACAAACTATCCAAGATGACATAGCTAGCAAATGGTAGGGTCAGGAGCTGAAACTAAGCAACCTGGCTATATATTCTATCCCTTAACCATCACCTTAAGCCTTTACAATTAAGTAGAGAGCACATTTTAAGTCAAGACCTGCACCCTAATAAGACTTACATGCAATACTACCTTGCAATAAGACTCTTTCCTTGTTAAAGAAGGAGGAAGAAGGAAAGTTGCTAGAGATTTCAGGGATGTAATTATAAAACTACAGATAGAGGACACTGAATACTATGTAAAGAATTCACAGAATTTCAGTAATAACAATGACCTTAGATCTAATCTAGTCAACCAGACTAATGAATTGTACTCTGGGACTAAATTCAGGAAAATGACTAGGCTGCCCAAGAACATGGAGCAAGTTGGTGGAAGAACATGGATAAGAATGTTTGGGCCTACCTCCCAGTGCAATGCCTTTTGTGCTACCATAACAACCTGTTACACAGTCTTGCTTAGAGAATGAAACCATCATGCTAGCACTATTTTATATATACCAACTGAAGGAAGAAAGAAGGAAGCAAAACAAATGGAGTCAATAACTTTAGGTCAGTATATACACTTAGTATTATTCTTTTTACGTAATTCCTGTCACAGCTGGAGCTTGCACAAAGAATCTGTTCTCATAATAAGAACCTGGCCTTACCCTGCTTGGGCTAGCTACATTTTTTTCTGCCAAGTCAACTTTGGTCAAAACAAATATGGTCCTTCTTCCATGAGGATCCATTTGACTGACCAAGTCCGTAACAATACTGCGTTCAGCATCCACAGAGCCATCTGAAAAAAAATTGAAAGATGAAACTGTAATAATTTAAAAACTTAGTAAAACCTATACCTATGTCTACATCATAGCAATAAACATTTTATTAATCTATTCACTTGTTTATGAAAGGAAATTCCAGCCAATAAAAATTTCTTTGATGCCTAAGGGGAAAATTATTAAAATATCCCCTATTTCAATTCTATTTATTGTACTAATAAAATGAACAAGGAAAAATGGTAAAAAGCACTGGTCTTGTATGTCTACGTAACAAGCATTATTTAAACAAAGCTGGGGAAGCATATCAGGATATCCAAAATCTTTTATGTAATTTACCTTGAATACAGAGTATGATGGCATTAGGGTTCTGCATGTAAGCTTTGCTGATACTGAAAATAGTTTCTTTAGTGTCGGGAGCCATGCCTGATGTCACAGTCTTGAAGAAAAAGGTTTTAAATGTCATTATAAGTGTTTTCCGCGATAGAAATAAAATAAAATTCACGTTTTGTATATACTTACATTAATCACACCTGGTAAATCAACTAGCACCATTCTCTGGAGTCCAGGGCCTTTTACATTCAATGATATCGTCTATTCAGGAAGAAAAAAATAATACCAGGTTTTGGGGAGTTCATTAAAAAATTTTGGTGATATACATTCTGAAAATTCCTTATCTCTCCATTAAGGTATGGCACTCAGAAAAAATTTGTATTTTTGATTCTAAAATCATTGTTCTAGAAAATTATGCATAAAATGATACACTATTTGGAACATTTTTAAAAAACTGTGTGTCTTAGAATGGCTGTAATCTAAACACTGATACCAATCTCACCATTTATTTGAAACTATAAACACTGCATTCCTGTAGCAAAATGTTGAAATGACTTGCAACTCTTACCTCAGGGCTAACAGTACAACCTTCTTTCACATTTTTCCTCATTCGGAGTTCTATTTCATGTCTTAATGCTGCAAGCTGTTAATGGAAAGCAACAAAAGCATATGAAAATCTTAGTTTGCAAACATTTCATTTCATTGTCTTATAAACTCACAGGGATGATAATGTTACACATACAAACCCTGGATAAATTCCACTTACGTCCTCCTCTTTGGTAAGGTCAAACTCCCGGGAACTGTCTTTAAATAAGGCCACGTGGTGAGGACCTTCACTCAGAGTCACCTGAAATTAAAAAACAACTAACATGTAACAACACATTTACAATCAACATTAATTTCTACAGCACTACCAAGGTCTGGATCTGGCCACTGCCTTGCACAGGTCTGACAGACCCTCACAATACACTTCAGCAGCATCTACTACAGCTGTCAGCATGGTAGTTCTAGAATCTCATCCACCCATCACACATGCTGTGATTTCCCAACAAGACTGCTGGCTATTTTATATCTTTTAGATCAAAAGTTCTACAGTCTTGTATTTCCCTAGTCAATGTTATATACAGTCCCACTCGTAAAAGCATTACTCTAAAACTTGAAAAATGGAAGACAATTTTGCACCTAACATCAAGAGCATATCTACCAGGGGACAATTGGTTCAGCATCTATAAATACTGACACTACCTGTCCAGTACTGCAGATGGAGAAACATTGTTGACTGTCTCTAGAACTCACACATTACCAGAACAAATACACAAAGACCCAAAAACAGTGCAGCAAAACCTTGGGCACTGCAGCAGAGAACAGCACGGTAATAAGGAGCTAAAGCAGACTTCCCCCAACGAGTGGCATTTGGGCAAGAATATTTAACATATATCCACAGCAGGTTCACGAGTGCTCCTCAACTTTCCATTCCTTAATTTTTCAACTGTAACTTTTTAAGCTTCTCTATAAGTGTACTATTTTACTTTAAAAATACAATTCCTTCCACTGAGATTAGCTAAACTGGCTAGCAACCGTGGCAGCCTGGACTAAGAGGCCAGAATCTCCAAGGATCTGGGAATTTCCCTGCAGTAATTATCCATCAGGGCACTTGGTGGTCTTTGGCACAGGGGAGAGGTCCAAGGGAAAGCTTAAAAGTTCCCTGGGTTGAATAACCTAAAACCAGGATTCAGGTTAATCCAGCTGCTCTGACTATAGGAGCAAAATCCCGGAGAAAAATGAACTGCAGATGTTAACCTCCAAAGCTAAGCTCTACATCCGTGCATCACTTTCCTTTAGTTCCTTTAATGTGAATGTTAAGAAACCAAGAAAAAAGCAGCTGAGGAGGTGGAAATTCCTGGTCCATATTTTGCCAATTTCAGTGCTCTGGAGAGACAAAAATATGGTGATGAGGGTCAGCTGAAGAGGCTAAGCCCTGGGAATCACAAGCAGACTACTGGCCAGAGACCAGGAATGAAGGAACCAGGGTCATACCGCATGCGAATAATGCTAGACTGCCCAACACTTTCTGCTGCACTTACAAACAGACTTCACTTCTTGAAGATTTTCACATCAGCTTCATTGTCTTATTTTCTACTGCTATTCTGGCCATAATTCTTGGTGATTTCACTTTTCCAATTCTTTAATTCCTGTATAACGAACCCCATCAACTGAATATGATAGAAAAGAACCCCTAAAAAACACAAAGCCCAAGGACACAGACTCACTTTAAATTTATGTCCACACAGATTACTGGAGACTTCAATCCAACTCGGCAACCCTAGTATCACCTGACTTCATCAACGCACTACTAGAGTCATCACAATCTCTAGAGAAAAACCACACTTTTTCCTCCTGCCTCAACCCTCAATCCTCTTTCCTTTCTCTGTACTTAGCAGCCTGTAATTTGGCTCCTTTCACAGAAGCAGTCAGAAAACTACACACTCCACATCCTTGGCTTCACTGGTAACCTGAACAGCTGCTTCTCAATCTCCATCCTCCTCCCCACACAGCAGCATTTGACCTCACTGATCATTTCCTCCTCAGTGTTTTCTCCACCTGACTCCTAGCACCCTGTGCGGCTCTGGATCTCCACCTACGGCACTGGCTGGTCCTTCACACACTCCTTTGGTGTATCTTCTCCTCCAACCCCACAATGTTGGGAAACTGCAGGATGCAATTCTGGTTCTATGTCTGCTCTATCTTACTTACTGCTTTGAAGATCTTACCCTGTAAGGTCATGGCTCTAAATACTATTGTTAGTAGAGGTATGTCTGCAGCCCAGATCACTTTCCAGCCTTTAATTTGTTCAGGCTCAAAGCTTCTTTGATTACAAGCATACACTCTCTTTGTCCCTATCAAATGTGGCAGGAAATCCTTGTAATCCTACTCCCAAGGGGATCCAGAATGTATTTCTTACTGCCTTTACTACTTCCCTTTTCCAAGTATCATCTGGTTGACACAATAGCCTCCCACCTGGTCTGTGATTCCACTTTGCCTACGTCTATCTTCAACACAACAGTCAGAGCCATTTAACAGAAGATGTTATTCTGCTCAAAACGCTACTCTTACTTTACTAAAAATAAAAGCCACAGTCCGAACAATGGCCTGCAAGGTACTAAAATCTGCTTCTCCCTGCCTTCCAGGATCCTTCTGCAACCATCACTTACAACTTTTCATTCTGGTCTAGTGACACTGGCTTCTACACTACCCCTTGAACATGGCAGCCCTCCTCTGCCTGAAGGCTGCGTACTAGCCGTTCGCTTTGCTTGGCACACGACTGCACTCGGAAGCAACAGAACCAGTTCCTTCGCTCACTGCAAATCTTGGTGTAAATATCATCTTCTCACTGCAACTACCGGTACCGGCAAGCACCCTGGCACTCCTTTCCATTTGCCTGGCTCCAATTTTTTTCTTTACAAGGTGAATAATATTGCTCATCTTCTATAAAATATATAGTTATTTACTGTTTGTCGTCTGTCTTCCTCCTCTGGAGCATGTTCTCTGTTACAGCAAGACCTTTTTGTGTGTGTGTGTGTGTTTGCCACATTGCCTAGAATAATGCTGGCAGATATAAAGAGCTCAGTAAGTTATGGAAGACTACAGCCATTTACTTTCTCCAGGGACCTTGGAAGACCAGCTAGTGCTTCTCGGTACAGACTGCGCACACAGCGAGTTCCAGCCTCCCTCATTGCACTGCTCTTACAGTGGTGCCTTAGCTCACATTACTTCCTCCCTTTACTGAGTCACTGAAATTGGCATGTAACTGTTGAAAATTGTCCCTTAACTCACAATATTTCAGTGGTTATTGCTTTATTTCATTGCTCTGTTTTAAAGAATAAAACTAGAAAATTACCTCCATTCTCTGGCCCCACTTCCTATACTCTCATTCTCTTCCTCTGCCTCAGAACACAATCTGAGGCCTCCCCATGGCTCAGTATGGCCTGACCACCGCTCTCCCCTCACTCACTCCTGCCACAGGCACGGCCTGCTGTGCCTCCTACAGATTCTACCCCGAGGATGGTTCCAGACACTGTACGAGAAGTCTTTCTTCGGCTAAAAGTCTTTGTTTCCACAGAGCGAGTAGTCTCCCAGAGGGGCATTCCTCCATGGCCATCCTTCACTCCAGCGGCCTTTACTCACCTTCACCGGAGAGCGCGTCATCATCTCCCCAGAGCCTCTTGGGAATATTCGTGCCTGGGCAATCATTTCCAACACACTCGTTTTCCCGGCACTCTGATCTCCAACCACAACGACCTTACCACGCAACAAATAATAGTTATTCGTTATTTTTCTGACACCCAGTTAAATTTAAATAGATTTGGAATGCTGCTCTGTGGTTTTTAGTATCTTAAAATGTTTACATATAAAATTGATTTCTGAAAAATCCATGAAAAAATGGCTCAAATGGTAGGCACACTGACAATACAAGGAGCAAACATTAATTGAAACCATTATTTATGGTCAAACTTTTATTTTTAAAAAGTGTGCTAATTAAAATCACTATTTCTGGGGCTGGGGATTTAGCTCAGCGGCAAAGCGCCTGCCTGGCAAGCGCAAGGTCGTGAGTTCGGTTCCCGGTACCAGAGAAAAACCAAAAATAAAATAAAATAAAATAAAATCACTATTTCTAAGATCAGATTACTAACTTTCCACAAATCTTTTCCATAGCTACTTTATTCTTTACAAACACATTTTCCATTCTAGTAGGATAAATTTCACTCATATCCTTAATTTAATTCATTATTCAGCTATTTTAATATTATAACTATAATAAATTTATAATACCACATATCTGACAGCCTTCCCTTATAACACATAAATGTAAGGAATACATGGCTACAGGACATTTATATTTACTTATATTTATATGGGCCAAAACAAAGAGTCAAATAACACTCCATGCTGAAGACATCACCCAGAACACACAAATGAAATTATATAGGCAAAAAATATACCTGTCTGTATCTGTCTGTTTACGTATGTGCGTGTGTATAATTAATGTGTGTGTGTGTGTATATATATGTTACTTTTGATAAGTTAGTGTGATTTTTTTTTTCTATGATCAAGTTCACTGTCTGCTGCTTTTTCACTTACCCGTGGTAGATGATCTTGTGTATTATAACTTGCATCATAATCAGACAGAACATCAAGAACTTCAGAATACATATCAATCAAAGATTTCTGTAAGTTTTAAAAAACAATATTAAGATTAAAAACTACAAGAGGAAAAAGTTGATACATTCAAATTGTTTTTTCATAATCATTATATTGCTTTCTCCAAATACTGTATATAGATACATCTCCATAGTAAAAACTGACAGAGAACAAAGTAAAGTTCCATTTCTTCTTCAGTTTATTTTGAAGTAAAATGATTAAATGAAGTGCCTGAATGTAGGATTTCCTAACCTTCTAACTAAATGGGAGCGGAGCGGAGTTATTAACCCTGACAAGTGAATTTTACATTTCAACAGAGGAAAGCATAAGCACGAAAAAGGCCAAATAAGCGATCAGGTGACCAAGTGACAAGGAATTACCTTTGCCAAGTGTGGGCTGTGTGTGTGACAAGGAGAGAGGGCAGAGAACATGTGCAAGTGAGTCCCTCAGCTAGAGAACGCAAAAAGGGCAACCGGAAAAACCCTGCTGAAGCAGCAGGAGTGATGAAACGGCCTCTGCTGGCTGGGCAGGCTACCACAGGCCAGCACCAGGGACGGACAGCCTGGACCGGTTCTTTCTGTGGACCAGGGCTGAGCACAGTGCCTTGCATATAACAAGTGTCAAGTAAGATATCCGCTGGACAAATAAACAAACAGGCCTGGGAAAAGGGTAACCGTCAAACATTTAATAACTAAGGATAAGCTTCCCAGCCTTTCTTACACTTTTATTTTGAGGTAGGGTGTTGCTTAGTTGCTCAGGTTGGGCTTGGCTTGTGTTCCTCCTGCCTCATCCTCCCAGAGTGCTGGCATCGTAAGTAGTGCCAACATGCTCAACTTAATTAAGGACAAGATTTAATGACAAGGTAAAAGGTAAGAGTTCCTCTCCTCTCTTAATGTCTAGATGTAATGAAGTGGCAAACCTAAAAATAAGCAAAAAAATTTTCATGATCATCGCATTTTATGAGAGCAAATACTGTTTTCTGAGGTAAATTCCTACATATGGTGACTCTTGGGCATAACTTTCCTCAACTGGGAGGTGCCACTTGTAAATAAAGTGCTCGTTGTTTGTTGTGTATAGTCATGACTTAGACTCAGAACTGTTAAAGGATGTTGGTTACATTAGGCTCTATCTTTGGCCACTGGCTACAGAAAGTAAGTGCCATGATTTACTGCTATTTGGCGATGCTGGAGTAAATCACGTTTATTTATTAGGAGGTTCTGTTTATGAGATTTAAGTTAAAACAACTACTTTAACACACGTGGATTGGCTTGGTGGGGAGTAATAAGGTTTAATTTATTAGCTGGGCAGGATGGCACACTTATCAATGATAATGGGTCATAGTTAAATGTCCATTGAACAATTCTAACTTTATAGATGTAGAAGTAAACCTAAGGATAAAATAAGTATTTCAGAAAAATAAATTAAACCTGAAGAAACTACTCTTAAAATAGGCAGATTTATGAGGATGCTACACACCACAATATAAAGCAAATCTCTGGAGACTACAATTTGTGAAATGCTGACACTAGGTTAGAAATAAAGAATAAAACACTTTATAGTTTCTTAAAAACTAGTATCACTGTTAAGTGTCCAGGTTCTGAGAATAAGTTAAAAATACCTTAAGCTTTCTATGATGGATGCCTTTATCATCTTTCTGCAGTACTAGTTTTCTCAATTCTTTGTTCTCCTTTTCTAAACGTTCCAGGATTCTCTGATACTTTAACTGCAACAAAGTAAAACACACAACCATTTAAAACAAAGGTGGGTTAATAAATAACACTGTCTTAATTAAAACCCTCTAAAATTCTTAAGCCACATCACCCAACTATCTAAAATGAATTATTACTTTAAAAGCTTCTATGAAGAATAATATTTTCTATAAAGTGAAATTCATTGCAATTTTGGATCATAATTTATCAACTTGAAAAATTCTTCACTCGTTACACTGAAGAAATTAAATTCTTTAAATATGAAATATTAGTAAGAAGTTAAAGTTCTAAGGTATACCTTAAGGACCAATGTTTCCTATTATATCAAAATTTTAAACCTTCATTACAGAGCCATTTAACAAAAATTCAAATCATTTCCATGCATATATTATTTTGTTTTACTCAAGATGATGTGCTGTGAAATGACAGAAGCTAGCATGCTGAGCAAGTATGACACACGCATTAATTCTCTTAGCTTTCACAGAAACCCTGTGAGGCAGGGGTTATACAGCTTAGGAACTTAGTGCTAGGGCCATCTTTAGCCTGCCCAGTTTGTGTGGTGGAGGAAGAGTTTTTAAAGTCTGTCTAAGTCAAAGGCTCAAATTTTCCAAGTTTTGTTAAATTTCCACTTCTGGAGAAATATATTAATATTTAAAATACTGATATAAAAAGTTTTTAAAGAAGAGTAATTCATTTAGATAGGTTATTTTGTCAAAGTGTAGGTTGTTCAACAACATACTTTTCTTCTCAAGTAAATGTGATCCTTTGCAATTGATCTTTTTGTTTTGTTTTGTTTTGTTTTCTGGTACCGGGAATAGAACTCACGATCTGGCGCTTGCCAGGCAGGCGCTGTGCCGCTGAGCTAAATCCCCAGCCCCCTGCAATTGACCTTTGCTCTTCCGATCTTCTGTTCTTTTACAAATACTGACCAGGTACAGAAAACTATTAAGAACCACTGTTCTCTACAGTCAGCAGAGTATTTACGTACAGCTTATATCACACATTCATAGTGGAAAATACTTCTCAGAAAAGTCTGTCTTCCAAAGTAAACAAAAGAAAATCATGGCCCTAGTGTCAGAGAATATCTAATTAAAGCCAAATTAAAGAAAATAACATATATTACATACGTATATTAATATATATTGTATATGTATGAACTATACATTATGAGACAAGTGGAATTATGGGCTAGACTGTACTCAAAAATGTTCTTACATAGTTTATTCATTGATATCTAGTAATAGTTTAAAAATTCTGAGAGATCTTTGCTCTCTAATATAGCATGTAGCTCTTAAGCACTTGAAATATGGCCGGTTTGAATGAAAACATGCTGTAAGCATAAAATACCTTATTAATATTCTTATGTGTAGTACATGTTTGAATACTGTGAGTAAAATAATTATTAAAATTAATTCCACTTGTTTCTTTTTACCCCTTTTACTGTGAAATTTCAGGCTTCACCTGTGAGCTTCGTATTTCCTTCTACTGGGTATCACTGGTGAATACATAGATTACTCCATGCTTTATTATATCATCAGTTCTCCATACAGTGTTGTCAAAACCCAGAGAGTAACAACTGAACAACCATAGCTGCACAAGCTAAAGGGCTGATATCAACGGAAAACAAGGGTGGTAGAATTTTCACTGGCTCATTTCTTTGCAAAGTGTGGCATCTAAGTGTGGCATCTAGTTGGGAGCCTACATTTTCATTTTTTGGTACAAGTGTCAACTTCCACTCACCCTGTTCCCCAAAACTCTAGAATAACGGTGGAGAACTCATGGTGTATGTGTTGTATTTTCTTTTAAGACCAAAGATGTTAATGTATGAGTTGTTTTGTCTAAACTAAACCCTCAGTATTCAGGTTTAATTGCAGCGCCAGCACTCTGTGATAAAGAAGTAGGGTCTGAGTTGCAGCTGGGGCACTCGTCTCCAAAGAGTTTGCCAGCACTGCAACAATACCTTCTGCACTTTGGGATACATCACAGTTATGTCAAGGGCTTTTAAAACACAAGTTTGCTGGGTTCCACTCCCAGAGATTCTGGCTGAATAGGTCTGGGATAGGGCCAAGAATTTGCACGTCTAATAAGTTCTCATATGCTGCCACTGCTCCATAGACTTCTGGACTATCAAGTCCAAATGAAATTTAAGTGTTCAAAATTGCCCTATCAATGGAAAAATGCAAGCAGATGTTTATACAAGAACAAACCTTTCTCCCTTTTTGCACAGCAGTTTACTGTCAAAATCAGAAGGACAAGATTCACTCAAAACAGTGTTTTACAAATAAATGAGTTAACTCCATACTTCTAGCTAGTTCTTTCTTTTGCCTCATTTCTCAGTTATGTTTTGTGTGCATTCATAATAGGATCTATCATTAACCATTACCAATTTTGCTTTATTGAAAAATAAATTTTTACAGCATCCAACTTATGCTAGACTCTACTAAGGTAAAGTCCCTGGTTTTTCTTACTCATCTGAATTACCTGAGTATGCAGAAGTTCTTCTTGAAGTTGGTCAATTTTCTCTTTGTCTGACACCTAAATGTTTAAAATAAATTTCAGTTGAGTAGAATTAGGTTTATATACAATGTACAGTAAATAAAAATTTTAAGCAAGTATTAAGAATAAAAACTACTGGCCTTATTTGCATGATTTAACAACAAATTTTAAATCATGTGATTAATAAAAATAGCTCAAAATCTTAAGAAGTAAAAACCTTAAAATGGACTAATTTTCCTTTTGCCACTTCCATCATTTGTTGTGAAAGATGTGTTAGAAAAATGAGAGATCAACACAGATGGGTACCATATTTGTAAGAGGTTGTGTGCCCACTAGAAATGTGTTCTGGGAAATCAGATCTATGTTACTATTATAGTCACTGAAAAAGCTCATTGGTTTCTTTGTACCTTGTACTTCAAGCAGGGAAGTTCAAGAACTTGCATTTTCAGTGCTATAAATGGAGCCAGATGCTTATTTTAATTCATTCATTAATTAATTTCTTCAATTTTTTTTAGGTTGGGTCTCACTATGCAGTGCAGGCTGGCCTTGAACTCACTATGTAACCTAGCTGAACTCATGGTGATCCTCCTGCTTCAGCCTCGAGTGCTGGGATTATAGGCGTGTGCCACCACTCCTGGCAGATGCTTGTTTTTAAATTCAATTCCAAGGCCAGATCTGCTAACCCATAATATATGAAATTCATCTGTAGCGATGAAACTAAAGCAACTAAAATTGATTTGAACACAGAAAACAAAATAAAAAATCTGCAGGTATTGTGTAAACTACTTCAAATTACTAATAGTTCTAAGACAGAATGTTTAAAAATCCAAAGAACTTTATTGTATGACAGGTCTTAAAGTAGTCACAATACAATTCTAAATACAACAAACACTTCTAATAAAAATGTCACTTGTGACAAATTCACATGACTATACTGACAATAAGGTACAAAAGTTGTCATCCTCAGCCTTTAAAAATAACTATTTTCTGCAAATCAAAAATTGTATTATATATTTATTTCACAGCAGAAAAAAAATCAAGTTAAATCCATGTTCTTTTTCATTTAAATCTTTGTACAGTTTTACTTCTTGACTATTTAAGCAATTAAGACATCATGGCAGCAAACAGAGATAAAAAAATTAAATGACAGGATTATTAATAAGTCTTGTCCATTCCCTAAAAAGTTACTTTCATCTTTTAATTCCTGTTTCTGAACACTTTTTCAAAAAGTTTCTCAAACTTTTCAATATTTGGTAATGTTTGCTAGAAATGATAAGTATATCATTTTGCTTTAAAAGTCTATGCTTGCAAATCTCTAAAAATGATTTGGTAATTAGACAAGGTATAATATAACAAAAACTTTAATTTTTTTCTGGTCTTATATAGCAAGCAGATTTGCTGACAGAAACTTATTTATTTTGGCTATGTGTGCTTGTACAGAATAGACAAGAATTATTAAGTTTCCTAAACTGTAAGGAGAACAAGTTGAGGAGAAGCCCACAAGCCAAAGAACAAAATCTAGCAGGCCAATGAAGAAGTAAGTAATTCCGCATTATGATCATAGGGCATGCCATCTTTCTGTAACAACGTGGTCATAAATAATTTGTTCTGGAAACTAAATTTCTAACTCATTTTGAAAGGTACTTTGATTCTACTCTGTTCCAACTGCAGCTACTACACCTGTGTAAAATATCTAAGAATTTCAGTTCCAACTATTTGAGCTTAGAATGTGAATATTTACGAATTTCACTCAACATATCTTAAATTACTAAAGACAATTCAACATTACTCAACATCTGGGGCAATAGTTAAGAGACTAACACAATTCTATATAGAAAAATTAAGATGTTTAAGCCAAGGGTTATAAAAGTTTAACTTAGTAGTTTGGTTAAATAAAAAGGTTATACATAAAATTTAAGAGATATAATGTTATTTAGAATATTATAATCTGTATATTAATGTTAGTATTTGGTGATCATGACTGCTGCAGTGTGTATAAATGTGGGTATGGGAGAGGCTGAAATCAATCATCTGCTCCTCTGGTACAACTCTGAAGAGTAAGTGATGCACAGTTTACCAATACACTTTCCATGTGCTTAGTTTAATGGAAGTTCCAAATTATGTTTATAATAAAGAACATGTGGTGGAGTCAAAAATTAATTCTTACAAACTGGTACAAGGTTTATGGAACAAACACGGAAGACTAATGAGAGGATACTTTTAATGCTGTCGTAAGAGAACAGCACAAGGTGTTTTCAGTCTCACTTACTCTAGGTCTTAACTAGCAACTTGGGTATGTTCATGTCCTGTTGTTTAACACACTTGGTTTCCATTATGAAATTAATTTGAAACTCACCCTGACAGAAATGGTATCAATGGTCTTGAAACCAGAGCTTTTCTACAATTCCAGGGCTGTGAAATTGATGGAGAAAGAGCGGAATCCTCCGCAGAAAGAAGCTAAAACTGAAAGAGAAAAACCTTTACTAGCTCCTCACAAAACCAGGCCTGATTTGAAAATTTTAAGTATTTCTTCCTTTTAAGCGATTGTGGCCATTCTAAAAGATTGAAATACATACATATGAGTCACTGTAAAAATTTCTGTAAATGTATACATATTATTGGAAGCAAAACTACCAATGGCAGTTTTAAGCTACCATCTCTGCTTAAGATCTTTTCTCAAAAGACATAAAGGTATTTATTAGTTGGTTTCTAACAAAATATTAGAAAATAAAGACCTACTCATCTTTTCAAGAAAGTAAAAGAAGATGAATAAAAGTAACAAAAAGTAGCTATAGTTTGTTTTGTGCCTCAAGCAAACTTCAAATGCCTAGAATGTTAAATTCTCATGAATAAATATTTTGATCATGATAGTAAAGAACATAAAAGTCAACTCTACTAACTGTAGGGGAGGAGGAGGGAAAACTGTCAGTAACTGGCCTTCAGGATAATAAAGGGGGTGATTTCATTAAAGAAGAACACATTATTTTTAGTTTCATACAAGGTAATTCTAAAGAGGGCAGGAACAAGCCTTTTGGTGCCCCACTCAAGTGCGCCTTCATATACAAAACAGACAGAAGTACAGTCCTGCCCAGCTCTATCTACAGACGGGGAAAGAGAGGGATATACGGACTTGCATGGATAACCCAATAAACACTAGAAATAGGAACGATACCTGTAAGCCCCAATAAAAACTAATAAATCAGTCCTAATAAATGAACATTAATCTTTGGCAGTGTGGAAAATATATTAGTATTCATTATTAATATCTTCTAAATTGTCACATTCAAAGGCACACTAGTAATTCAAAAATGTATCTTGGAATCTTAAAATGGCCGGGCAGATAGGATTCACTTCAATTTAATCAGTACAAAAAAATTTATGAATAACTTGGAAGTAGAGTTATGTTCATATTTTTAAGCTACACACCAGAACACTCCTTTCTGTAACTAAACTAAGGTACAGATAACTCAGCATACACAGCCAATTTTAGAATATTTAAATGGTACGCTCACAGCATACAGAACAGAGAATGTTAAGTACTATCTAAAATAAGTCCTTCCCTGGTTTAACATGTCTATTTTAATCACACAGAAAAATAACTTCTTTTCTGTTTCACCTATGCTGTTCATTCATGAAAGCTAAATAAAATACAGGTGTTGATTCCACAGCCATGGAATTGAGAAAAACCTGGAGTCACACTGAAAAAGAAATGGAATTCTGATGACTACTGTCAAGTATTAGCCCCCACCGTATGAGATGAGGTTAGCCAGCAGCATTATGGCACTAAGTCATTACCTTAAATATTGGTTGATTGAGATCTCAGAACCTACAGGAAGTTAATTACATGATTGAGTCTTTTTTCTGGGATAAGATTTGTATTTAATTGTAAACCTCTGTTGATCTAACAGATGTAACATAATTAGCTGATTTTTTAAGATCTCAGAGTATAACTGTAAAGTCATTATTTCATTTTGACCCAAGTCTCTTCAAAATAATAACCTAGGAATCTGTATTGTGGGACTGCCTAACAGGCAAAAGAATATTTTTAAGGACCTCTGACTGCACCAGTAAAAAATTTACTCAGTTACTCAGTAACTGGACCATGTAAATAATAATTCATAATTTTATTCTAAACATAAATCCATGGACCCTCACAGCTAATCCAACCTTCACAAACTAAATTCCTATAGTTGAGCTTGATATTTTGGGCCCTGTCTACACTATCCACTTGAGAAAAGTTACATCTTTATACGATGCAACCATTTTATATTTTTTAAAAAGTTTTTCATCGTTAAGAGTCCACGAATGGATTAAGGTGACATGATCTCGGCAGGAATGGCTGATTAGTGTGAGTACATCAGTAGCCCCCTTAAACCATCCATCACCTTGCGCTTCTGCTGGGCATAGCTTGAGCCATATTGGCCAGCGGCTCTGCGTGCTTCCTCTTCATGCTCTTGAATTTGCTGTTGTAAGAGAATGAGCTCACCAAGCAGACCCTGCCGTGAGTGTACAGTGAGAAGAGGAAAATTGGGGAGGAGAACAATGTTAAACCAAAGGGCACAATAAAGTCACAGATGTAAGGGGGAGGCATGGACAGCTTAAAACAAAAAATGGAAACTCTGCACCCACAGAGCCTTCACATGACTCAGCTCTGTAATGCATTTCCATTTGCCTTCAGCAAGATTAGTTACCTTCTAAACAAAACACAGCACAGTTTAAAAAGTGAAAAGGAAAAAAATGCAGTAAGAACTGCTGAGTAAAATGAGCCAAACACACAACATTAACACTGTAAGACCTAGACCACTGGAATGCTCAAAGCAGGTAGCACTGTAGTTTATTGACTTTCCCGGCAAAACCTTGTTCTGAATTGCTAATATGTGCTCTTGAAATATGTGAGGAAAAAAACTCAAATTGATTTTTTTGAAAACCAGTGTTGATCTTACAGGCCTAAATCTTCCAGTTCTGAACAATAACTCTCATGGTACTGATTAGAGGCTCATAATCATTAATGCTTATTAAGCTAGTATTTTTAGATAAATAAGTATTTTTCCTTGATATGATTTAAATTAAATATTAGTCTTTCAAAACCTACAAATCTGAGTTTTCTAGCACCAAATTAATCAAGGTTGTATACTAATTCAAATATTTATGTGCCTTTATAATTTGACTAAAATTAGGGTTCTTTTTGTAAATTTAAAAATGTTTTAGATTCTGTTTTGACTTTATATGACATTAAACAACTAATTTGATTGCTTTTCACTTTTTATGAGCTGTTTTGACGTTAAATAGAATGGCCTCTGCAAATACAAGCAAGGGTATATCAATTACTAGGCAAAAGCACTATGAATGAACATAAGATACAGACAAAATAGTTATGATGAGAATTTAAAATGAAACAAAAGTTTGGACCTATACACAAAATAATTAACTTTTCTACTTCTAATATTAATCCCACTTAATTACAAAATTTTTTTTTTTTTTTTTTTTTTTTTTTTTTTTGGTTTTTCTCCAGTATCGGGACCCGAACTCATGACCTTGCGTTTGCCAGGCAGGCGCTTTGCCGCTGAGCTAAATCCCCAGCCCCCAAAATATTAAACTGGTACAATTTTTATTATAATATATAACATATGGCTTGATACCAACATAATGTCATTTTCTGAACAGTATTTTTCTCTTTCTGGCCTAAGAGATAATCAACCCTCAGAAATGTGGAGGAAAGGACAACTAAAAATTAACAATGTCACAAGCCTAAAATTTTCTCCATTAGAAATCCTAAAAAGGCAAAGTTCCAATCGATAAGGTCACTGAATTACACGAGGTAATTGATTTGTAGGAACAATGGGCTCAGTTTTGACCAATTCATAAAAACAAAGAGTTAGTAAAGTTAATATAGTCTAAATTTCAAGTTTTAAGTGCCATACGAATTTTTTTAAGTTACTCCCCAAAATATTTTGTTTTGTATAATTAGTAAAATATGTTAAAATGCTGGTTAACACTACAGTAAAAATTTAATTAGTAGGAGTCACCAAAGGATTACTGAATTTACCTTATATAACCCAAGGACTTACATAAACATAAAGGTTTTCCAGTAAATAAACATAGAAATATTAGTATTACAGTAAAGCATTTAAAATTATGCAACATTAATATATAATTTGGGGAATATTTGATTGATTCTTAGCTTTTACATTTTATGGTATGATCCTTGTTAATACTAATGAATAAAACAGACTGATTTACTATCATCAAGGAATGAAATTAGTTGCTTTCTTTCCACATACCAAGAGAAATTTCAACATTAGTTTCCAGATTCAATAGCACAAAATATATGCATAAAAACTTTAATTATCTTTAAGATACATCTTTTTGAGGAGAAGGACATTCTTTAGTTAGAGAAAGCACTGAGGAGACACAATGATTTGTTTATTGTTTGTTAGGGTTTCTTAAGGTAAGGCTTCACCATACAGCCCGGATTGGCCTTGAGTTTACGATCCTCCTGGATCTGCCTCCTGAGTACTGGATTACATGTGGAGAAGGATATTCTTTAATTACTCTTTCAATGTATTGCCTCAGACATGATCAAGCCAAGTTTAGTTCTGGAGGGAGCCTAGCAAAAGCTTTGGTGGAAAGGGTAAGATTGCAAAACCTGTGTCCTTGAGGAAAGCCTCGGGGTCAACACTAAATGCTTTACTGAGACATGCCCAAAGGAATGATAACATGATGGCTTACTAAGTCAAATCTCATACTTATGATAATTGAGCTGTATTATCCTTGCTAAAACAATTGGTATCTGCCCACTTGTACTAGCTAAGCCCTTGGTTCTTGCTCAATAAAAGGAAACTGAGATTGGTAATTGAGGCTGCTATCTGAGAGGCTGTAAGCTCCCTGATCCCAAAATTCTGTCTCTCTTGTCTCTCTTATTTTCATCTGGAGCAGGGAAGCTCCGTAGCTCAGGGATTAGAGCACTGGTTTCATCCGTGGGTACTTCGTTCTCGGGACCTGTCACCCCTGGACAAAAACGGAACTTAGACATCTTTTAAATACATTAGTTTAATGGTCAATGACAAATCTATCAAAGAAAATTAATATCAACTATCTTTATCATTCCTGTAATTTTAAAATATCACTGCTTTTCATCCAACAGAAAGCAATCTGACCACTATATTTGCTCATTTATTTTGGTCATCAATCCAAGTGTTTAGACTTTTAAACAACTGCTTCAAAAGGAGCTTCCTATACTGGCTTTCATAGTAATGTGTCTGCTGTATTTACATACTTCTGGCACTCTCATTTATACTATGCCCAAGCACTTTTACTTACAGTTTAAATGCCCCTCTTTAAGTCATTACTCATATCTAAATGCAACTGTATGGTAAATACAGGATTCTAATATTTATTAGATTTCAAGAAAACACTCTTTCTAGCAGTGCCTCTCTTTCCTCCCAGTCTGTGCCTGAAGTTCTGCTATGTGAAGGTGAAATTGTTACTTCCTGAAAAAAGTAGGACGGAAACAATGAGACATAGAAAAAGCCATTTATACTATGCTATACATCTTTTTAAAAATTTTTTATCTTTATGTTATACAGCTTAAGGAGGTTACCTTTCCCCAAATTTAGGCATCAAATCTCACCCTAAACACAAAATGACAGGCTATTCAGCTTTAATTTAAGACCATGTGGAACAGGAAGGGGAGAAATGCGTGTACATACTGTGCCAGCAATACTCCTTGGATGTGAAACATACATTTTTGTCAATAAGTATTTTCCCAGGGATGGGACATTTTTCTCTCAAGAAACAGCATACATATAATTATTTAAAAATGCTTCACATAAAATATAGTAATTGTCATGTACAACAATAAATAATTATTATTAACAGTTATAGATTATATACACCCAAAACATCTGGCCATTGTCAATTTGACACTGTTGTGCTTTCCATCTTATATTTCATGTGCAATGTTCTCTATTTTTAAAAAAGATAACATCAGAAAAGACAATTAGTAATAACTCAAGTCTAAAATATCAAATAAAAATGCTGTGCTTATGGAAAAATTCAATGAGTTTAGTAGAAAAGATTTTAAATAATCTTGAATATCATGCTATGCTCTGAAAGCTTGGCGTCCAAATTCACATCAAAATCCAACCCCCAGTATGACAGTATGAGAGGCAGACCCCTAGGTGGTGACGAGCGCTCTGGGATCAGTATGCTTTTAAAAGAAGACTGAGAGCGGCCTCCACCGTTAGCTGTGTAAATGCACAAGGAGAATGTGCCATCTATACAAGAGACCTTATCAGACACCAAATCCACTGGCACCTGGCCCTTGGATTTCCGGTGTCCAGAAATGTGAGAAATAAATTTCTAGTCTCTATATACTATCCCAGTACATGGAATTTTTATAACAGCCCCCTGTACAGAGTGAGACAATTATAAGTCACTCATGTTAGTACAGCATGTACCACTGCGCACAGTACCCCGTTCACTTTTACACACAGCACTTAGGATAAGGCCTCGCACACTTGAGGTGTGATATAGCCACTGTGGAGAGCAGGACTTGGCACATGTTTCATATAAAATTTTTAGGATAAAATTCAAAAAATTTTTAAAAAGGTTTAAGTTAATTTGTTAAATTAAGCTTGTAAGCTGCACATCAACCCTACAACTCATTTTCCTGGCATTCATGATTCCCAGATGACTCCCTAGAAAAGCACAGGGAAAAAATTAATCAAATAATGCTAATTTGCTGCTAACTCCCACGATAACCCAAAGAGAAAGAAAGTAACTACTATTGTTGCTTTCCTCCTCCTCTGAACAGCTAACATTTATTTATTTAGTTAGGTCATCTATCAGGTCTTGTGCTAAAGGACTTCACGCAGTCTTCACAACAACTTTATCGGGCAGGCTTTGCCCTTTCACAGAAGTACAAGCCACAAACTCAAAGAAGGTAAATAATTTGCCAAGGTTACACAGTTTAGGAAGCAAGAAAGGCAGGTTCTGAATCTGCGTGACCCTGAAGTGTGTATCTGACATGACTCAGTAATATAGCCCACCTATATTCAAATTATCTTTGATCAATGAGGTTCTAAGTACATTTGAGAGAGGAAAATGGCAACGCTACAATAGAAGGTATATTTAAGTTAGAGCAGGAGTTGGTGAACTACAGTGAGCAGGCTGACTAGTTTATAGAGACACTATGGCTTGCAAGCCTAAGTAAGGCATTTACGGGCTGGTCTTATGAGGAAACGTTTGTCAACCTCTGCTTTAAAAGTTGTGTAGTAACTTTGGCTTGGCAAGAGCGTCATAAAAGTGAAGGTTTCTTGATACTATTTAAAAAAAATCCTTAAGCACTAAATCATTTTCTAAAGTTTGAAAAACTTTCTGCTTTTCTACTCTCTGGTAAAAAGAACTATTTTCCTATTTTTCTTCTCCCAGTAATACGTAACTCTCCTCAAGATATTTACGGTCAACTGAAAAATATTACTGGTAATCAGAGGGAACTGAGTCTTTTCACTTGGGATTATTTAACTTGCTCCAACCTAGAAATATCATTTTCTGTTTTACTATTTGAACAATTTCTACAATTAATTTTAAGGATGACCAAAACAGTCATTACCAATAATTATCAGAATTATACTTTCTATTACAATTTGTTCAATTCTTAGAGCAAATTTCCTTTGCTCTAAAGGAGCATTTTATACATATATATGTATAAATATATATTTTATACATACATATCTCCTTTGTTCTAAAGGAGCACTTATACACACATATATATGCACACATGAAAAGCATTTACTGTTTCTTGAATGACATAGAAGGGGGATGTATAGTTATTACAGAATAAAGTAAGGCTGTTTTGCCCTTCCACTTTTCTGCATGGAGATATTCCCTGCTTTTCTTCGTCTGAACCCTCAGCATCCCACCTAATAATACTCTAGTGCACACGTGGTTTGGATTCCAGCTAAGAATCTCACCAAGCATAGTCCTTAGTTGCTAGTTGTTCAGAAAACTCAAGAGTTCCTGCGGTGTGTGGTTATTTTATAGCGCACGTTGTGAGAATTTAATTTTGCAATAATTACTACAATTACTTGTTGCATGAGAAATCTCAGAAATGTAAATCCTACATAAGCAACATTGCTGCATTCCAAATCAAAACACAGTATCAAATACATAAAGCATTTTTACATCCTTGTTCTTCTCAATAGTTGCCAAATATGAGGGCCAAGAACAATTCACAGTAATCAGAGCAAAACAATCTTTAGGACTGCCTTTGTTAGCATCAACCAAATTTCTTTACTTTAAACGTGCCTTTTTTCTGCTGAGTTCAAATAATCAATTGATTTTGCTAAGAGTGCAACACTATCCTAGGTGCTCTGAAGACAAATTTAGTGACAGAAATGATTCATTAAACAGTAAGATTATAAACCAGAGTAAACAGTGTTGTAAACATGGAGGAGAAGATAATTAATAGAATTAGAATGGTTATGTCAGGCTTCATGAAGGTGACAACCGAGCTGTACTTTAGGGAACACCGGCAATTAGGCAGGAAGAAGAAAAAGGATGAGGGATACTTCAGTTGGGAGATATATCAGAAACCATAAAAATAAGAATGAGAGTAATATATTGGAAGAACATTAATGTATTAACACTTAATAATTACACTGAAAATACTACTACTAAGAGTTGGGCCTTAAAAATATTTTCTTTAAATTATAAATGTGCCTGTTACTTTCAGAATGGCCATATTCTTTACTTCTGTGAGATGCTTATGACCAAAAAGAAACACGATAGGACAAAAGCACAGGTAATAACATGTCTCACTTAGTAAATCAATTTTCACTACAACACAGCAGTCTTACAGAAACGAAAAAGAAGATACACTAAGTGCACCTAAGATTATCTAAGTATATGGACTGATACAGAGAAATCTGATGATTTACAAATCAGTGATTCTATTAATTCACCAAAACAGGCTCCGCACTTCAATTTCCAATTTGTGTTCAAGTAGTTTTAAAAGCTAAGTCTTAAGAGTATTAGTCAGTCCACACCAATGGCTATTTTTTATATATTCTTCTGGGGGCACAGCATTAAAACTTTGGAGTACAAAAAGCACTTATCAGAGTGTGTTTATTCAATTAGACATCAACAAAGGGGTCTAAGTTAGGTTTAAAAAGTGCTTCTACTATTTTTTCAGTGTTCTATTAATCAAAGATACATATCAGAACCTCGGCTCAACATAGCAGAAATAACTAGTTTCCACTAGTTTTTGTATGCCTAAACATACAAATTCAGGTAAAACCACAAAAACCTGATGTGCAGCATTATGTGGAAATATACACTTTCCATAGACTTTCTGTGGCCTTCAGCTGTAACTTTCCCAAACATCTAGGCTAGAAGCCCTTGCTAGGAACCACGGGTGATCACTGTTCATCCATTCTGGCTTCAGTCAAACCATCTGTTTCCTCAACTCCCATCACTTCCTGTGCTTGACTCCGAAAGATCCTAACTGTTCCTCTGCTTGCCAGGACTTCTCCAGCTGTGTTTTTGCACTCAAAAGACAAATCTTGATTTTAGTTCTAGTTGTAAAAAAGTTTCCCAGTTATTATTCCATTTCTAGCATTAGTTTAATGAGAAACTGTCTCAAACCTCACAACCTTTAAACTTAAGCATGACTGCTTCAAACCCTGAGCACTGTTTTAAATCTGGAGCTCTGACACAAGCCTGAACCAATCAAAAAGCTAAACTCTAGATGCCATCTTACCAGCTCTGATTGTTCCTCACCTGACATGTGAGTGATTTCAAAAAGGTCACTGCTGTACTAAAGCCTCTCCTTGCATGCTTACATTCAGCTGTCAATTTGTAGGGAAGTTTCTTAAAGTCAGGTTGGTCTCTCTGCATTTTACTTGAACAGGTCACTACTCTCAAGCATCACAGGCAATAGTCAAGCCCTAGAAACACAATCTTGTGTATCAACAACTTCAAAGCCATCCACCGGGGCGGGAGATGCTTTTCTGCACAGTAAAATTTTATACTAGCATTATTTATGATTTGCTTTAACCTTAATAAAAGTAGCTAAAACTCCAGTTTCAGTATTTACAACAAATCATTGGAAAAAAAAATTGCTGAATTTTTAATGGGCAAAATAATTATCATAATTAAGAAAAAGTCAAAAGGAAATGGTCTATAAGGGCATTTATCATTAAGCAACAAAAGAGTAAGTTATATAAAGCAATAAAATTACTTTCATGTCCACTGCATAAAATAACATCTGTAAATATCATCTTAAAAAATGCACTGTTGGGGCTGGGGATTTAGCTCAGCGGCAAAAGCGCCTGCCTGGCAAGCGCAAGGTCATGAGTTCGGTTCCCGGTACCGGAGAAAAACCAAAAAAAAAAAAAAAATGCACTGTCTTGTTTCAGCTACACGATAGAGCTCCCAGTCAGCTACTGATGGTTCATTTGTTACCTTGGTGGGTTTCAGGAGCACCAAGTCAAGGCCTGAACTTAGTTTCTCATTCACCAAAGCGATTCCACACCATACCAGAGAGAAAGCAAGAGAGAAAGCAGATATGCATACCTCCACTAACTGCTTTAGGTAAAAAAAAATACTGACACTCAAAGAATTACACTACCACACCAGTAACAAAGGCTCCTCCTCTCCCTTTAGATTAGTTCATCTCTCCACACTGTTTACCTGCCTTCACTCACCGCGGCCCTGGTTCAAGGTAAGCTGCACCCTAGGTTAGTTTCTATCCCATCTCACTCCTCACAACATGAATGAAGTCGAGTGTTCTTTTGGTTAAAACTATGTAAATGCAAACATGTCAAGAAAGATCAAGTTGAAAGGAAAATGCAACCCCCCCCTCCACATTTTGAAATGTTTTCTCCAAAAAATAAAGTTTAAAGTTGAAGAAAAATATTTTTGAAATAAAATTTGGGATAGCCTATAAAATACAATGGCAAAATAGAGTGAAAGAGGAAAAAACCTGTAAACAGAAATTATTTCTTCGTTCTACTCCCCAAATTATTTTCAATGGTGTACAAAAGCTCAGTATAAAACTACACATTCCATATTTAATATTAAAATGTTCACAATATTTTTCATAAATCTATTTATCTAGATTATTACTTTTCAAAAACTTTTCAAGTACTCATTTATTTTACCAATTCTAAAAGAATGAAGACTAAGAATACATCTGGTAAAAGTATGATTATATGTCAGAGGGAAGCATGTTGTCCCATCTTAACAATTCTATAACTTTAATATGTGGCTCTCCTACAACTTTAATGTAGATTCTGTTAAAACGGATGTGTTAATAGTAGACATATTATAAGTGGCTCCATACGTAACTCTCAATAGAAGAACTGATTCATTTCCTAGTAATTTACTTGCTACTCTTTCATATTTTCCACTAAGTGAAAGAGGGCTCTGCTGATAAATTCTGTATGCTTTGACTTCCCTTAGAGATTCACAAAGCAGCAATATATTAAGGTCTGGAAAGTATTGTGGAAAATACATCTACTTGTCTTGTCTACCTCATCTTTTCCCACACATATTTAGTAACAAATCCTTTCTTAGGGCCAACTTTCAACTACTGTTTCACAATACGTATCTGAAGGAGATAGGCTTCTCTATGTCTAGAACTGTCACATGACGTCTTATGCTAAGGTGAGTAAAAACATCTACTGAGATGACTTTGTATTTGCTCCTCACATATGATCATTTTCAAATCTTCCAAAAAGTAAAACTCTTAAAAATCTTTCAAGGCTACCCATAAGAAGCATTGTTTTATACTTACCTTTCTGTATGGCTTGTCACTTTCAGATCCATGGTCTGTTGCTCTAAATGCTGTATCTCCAGGTGAACCTGAAATGTAAACATATAGTCTTTCAAATTCTCCAATGATGTTGCTAGCCTAAGTCAAATTCCAAATTATATTGAATCAATTAAAAAGTAAATGGATTTTATAGCAACTCAGGGTCAAAGCATCAAATGTCTTTTATTTTTATTCTAGGGAACGTTATTGGTAAAATATGTGAAAAATTTTCAAAAATTGTAGTACATGTTTAACCTATTTAAAAAACATACAACTTGAATTTATGATTAAAAACAGACGGGCTGGGAATTTAGCTCAGTGGCACAGCGCTTGCCTGGCAAGCGTGAGGTCGTGAGTTTGATTCCCGGTACTGGGAAAAACAACAACAACAACAAAAAAAACCACACTCTTTGGGCTATTTTACATGACCATACTTACAGTTTAACCATGTATCACTGCCATTAGACCACATATACAATACAAAAACAAATTTAAATTGTCAAATATGACACGGCAGATGAGACAAACTAAAATTACTTTTCATTTCAATTATCAAAAACAATTACAACATTTTAAGAAAATATTTTGGATAAGCAAATTTTCTTTTAATAGCTTTAATCTTGCATATATATATTTAGGAATTTTAGTTTTATCACAAAATAATTATATTATTTTATCTAAAGGATAGTGAGTTTGCCTACTACAGTTTTGGGGTTTTATAATTCAGCATAAGCAGCAGTATAAATTTGGTGTGCAATTTTATTTGCAACTAGTTTATTAGAAGCATTGAAAAGGCATGTTAAGGTCAGCAAAAATGTCTGTTTACACACCTAACAAGAGAAGTAGGTCAGAAGCTTCTACGACTTCACTAACCAATTTGTGACCTGTGAAAAATCAGCAAAAGGGGAAATGAAAATATAAAATTTAAAAGGAATGAGCAAACAAAGATGACTGAGACCTCAGATTTATAATGCAGTAGGGTAGTAATTGGGCAAATATGCCAGGGCTAACTTTATAAATTCTAGTCAAGATGGTTCAACATATTAAATTTTGTTTTAAAATCACCATATTGGCTCTAACCAGCTATGAAAAGCAAATACATAGGAAGTCTCATCTACTTGTCAAGAAGAAGTAGTATTTTTCCTTTCCCTGATTAAAAACCAGTGCATATTTTCTTACAAACGTTCACTTTATTGAGTTAGACAAAAATTAAAACCACTGTGCAAGAAAGCTTTGTTTTCTTTTTTTGAAAAAACCCCCCCAAAACAAAAAACAACCCTTTTCATTTGTACTAAATGTTTTAATTTAAAAGATCGGAATAAACAAATACATCTATAGATTTTTTTCCTTTGTGGTTTTCAATATTTAAATTAGATTAAGCAGGTGTGTCCTCCTTACCTGTGGTGAAAAAGTCCTTCAGTAAGCTGAGGCTTTCGACAACCTTGTCCAAGTCAGGGGCTAATTTTGCCAGGTCTTCTGAATTAGGGAGTGCTTTTCTAATTTTCTCTGGAGAAGATCAAAGACATAAATAGTATCAAAATAAGAATATGTATCAGATAGTAGAATCTAGGGGCTATCAAAGTATTAACTTGCTCAATCCTCAAGGAAGCTCCACAGATTAGCTCCTATCATCACCCCATTTATTGATGAAGCCCTGGGACACGCAAGAAGGAAGTGCGGGAGCCAGGGCTCAAGTCCAGTCCAGCTTCAGCACCCAGGTGCTCAGCGCCTACACCGCAGTACTGGCAAAGGTACTAAATTGAAAAGTACTCTTCAACAATATTAGAAAAACAACTTGAAAGCATGCAAATGCTTTAAAACATATCTGGCAATATAGCACTGTTTTATCTTTAAGAAGTGCTGTAAATAAGTATTTGTAGAAATTCCACCTCCATGTATACCTATCATAAGAAATTAAGACAGTATTTTAAAAGGGAAATTATTAAAAATAATTTAATTAAGAATTTTTAAAAGATCATCATGAGTTACTTATCATCAGCTATCAAAAAATATTTCCTTCTTGTCTACTTACTGAGAAAGGGTGTCAATGTCTGACCAAGGGAGAAAATCACTCTGGATTCTAACAGACTTAAGAAACTTGGCTACAAAAATTATAAGTAACCACGGTAACCAATCATAAGAGACAGTAGACACACCCCAGGCTACACTGTATAATGCTGAAAATGACCTACAGAAAAGCTGCCTGGCAGTGGGGAAATGCTGACAAAACGTGTCAGGCAGCAAAAGATAAGATACCAAAGTCCCTATGACTACATATTTTTTAAAAAGGAAACTAAAATATTAACCACATACCAATAATAAGTACAATGGAAAGAAAATATCCCAGGACAGCAGCAACTGTACTACAGTGATGGACCATTAGATATTCTCTTCCCATAGAAAACTTTTCTTTGATAGTTCATGATTTTTATCACTGAAATAAAGTACTATAATTAGACGCAAAAGTTAAGAAACTATCTTCAAAATTTTCTTTCTTACATAAATGACTCAAAAAAGTATTTTAATACTGATGATACAAACCAAAGTCAATGTATTCATCAATTTCCCACACGATGTCAGGGACAATCCATTTATAGTCACTAAGGTCTGGTATCATGTCTTTCCACTGATCAAAAGTCTAAAATATAAGAAAAGATGTCAGTTACATACTCTACATACAATGTAAATGCAATCTAAATGTATAGAAAAATTGTTAATTAAAAAACTTTATGAAAAGCTATGTATTATGTAGAAAACTTTTAAGAAACAAATTTACGTGACCTCAGCTCTTCCATAAACAATTTAGAAAGTAAACAAATAAAATATGTAAATACTCCTTTACTAAATAGGAAAATGTAAGAATTCAAAATATACTGCCATTTCAAGTAGGTTTCATGCTGGCATTAATCAACACCATGGGACAGAAGACCAAGACACAGGACTCTGTCTCAGGGCCCTAAAGGTCTGATGAAGTGGTCTCTTGAGTACTGTACACCACCTAACTTTCCTGTCCCTGCTCTTAAGTGGCAAAGCTCAAAATCAAATCAAGGTGATAACTCTCCCCATTCAGGGCCCTCTCCTCTAGGCTGTCTTTATCATCTGTAATTACAGTGAAGATTCAGAAGGCAATTTCACATTGGCACCTTTAAGACAACCTAGGACTTGGTCAAAATACACAATAAAATGTTTATATATCTAATTATAATTAGATATGTAATTTTACTACATTTAAAATATGACATGGTATAAAAATTTAAAATAATCATGTTGGCATAACTGGAAAACCAGTAGGAAAGTTAAACTCACCTTTTTGGCTGTATAGCCACCACCCACAGCTGATCCCAGTATGAGATATCGAAGTTTTAAGAGCCTTGCAGCTAACCTTGCTGGCCAAAAATTCCTGTGGGGCTGGTAGCCGTATTTAACTGGAGAAAGTTTCAGTTTACGTAAAGGAAGGTTAGTTAGAGAAGAAAACTGCTGAAATGATGTCCGTAGGTGAGGTCTCTGAAACTTTAAAGTAGGATGTCGTGAATGATAAATACTCCGTGAAACCAGATGCAGCTTTTGGAGTGGTGAGCTTCCTTTCATTCCAGAGCTATGCTTCACCAAGGACTGGCAGACCTCACTACAAGAAAAACGAGTGTGGGAGAAAGATCAAACACTGTAACAATACAAAGGAAATGATGCACAAAGAGCAATACTCCATTCTAAAGGGAAAACACACATGCACGTGTGACCAGCCACGACTGTTTGTACTTAATAACTGCTATGTGTGTTAGTGCAACCTTAGCATGTGCTAGTTCACGCAAGCCTGCATGAGATACTGCATGTACCAGTATAACCCCCATTTGACAAAAGAAGAAAATGTGGCACAAAGACACGAATACAACTTGCCCACGTACACGAGGAATAACATGAGGAGTAAAAGAATTCAAAGCCAGGCTGGGACTCCAGACCCTGTACTCTAATTTACCATATGTGGGCTATAGCACTGGTCTAAGGGATTGAAACCAAAAAGAGCAAAGGTGGGTATTTATTTTACTAACTACTATTCACTGTAAGTAAAAGTTGAAAACAAATAAATATAAATTTGTGCTTTTAAGTCCAAAACTTCCAGGAGTTTAGAATAGCTATGTTTGCCACTTATCTACATCGGTCAATTCTAAAATATGCCAAGGATGAAAATTAGTCAATTCCACCTCAGTCAGCTGGCTCTCCAGGAAAACAAAAGTAGCAAAAAAAAAAAACCCCAAAGAAGAGCATCTAAGTACATATGTTAACTGTGTGTGCCCCCGTCTTCTCCTCCCTGCAGAACTATACACTTCATGTTCTTCGACGCACATTCCCAGCTGCTTACTGCAGGCCAAGCCCAATTCTAAGTCTTATAAAATACTAACTCATTTAATTATAAGGGGCTGAAAACTTTGAAGAAAAGTGATTATGGAACACAGGAAAAGTGGTATAGAGGAGGACAGTGGGCAAACGGGCATCTCTTGCACTCTCACTAAGTGTCAGACATTTTGCTAGACGTCTTCACAAATGCTACTGTTGCGTAACTCTTGGGAAATCTGTACCTTCTTTCACAGATTTATTTTTAAAAAACCGTCTTGCCTAAGGTAGAAATACTGGTAAATGGTGGAAGAGTGATTAAAATTCAGCCCAACAGTAAAGCCCAGATGCCTTCTACAAAAGATACTGGTAGGGAGGAGTGTGGGAAGCAGTAGACAGGCTGTGAGGCTATGGTGACATCCTGAAAACCTCATAAGGACACAGAGCCTTGTTCTGATTTGAGACTCCATGAACCTTCCAACTCAGGAGGGACACAGGATTCAGGAGGAGAAGTGACACACTGCACCACTCATTTGTCATTAAACATGTAAGTGCTATTTCCGGTCGTGTAAGCCTTTGTAGAAGCTGGTAGCCGTTTTGTACTTTTTGCTTTTCAAAGCCCTGCCTCACGATAAATCGTAATTTCCACTATCTTATAGAAAGCAAACCCCACTCTTTTTAAGGAAGAGACTGAATTCTTCTGACCTCAAATTCAGCATATATAAAAGGAAAACCCTCACCTTTAAGCTGTCTCCACTCCAACAAGAAAACACACATGAAAATTAGTAACATATCCTACCAAATCAGAGGAGGTAAGAGATAGGGAAGTGCTATAAGAAAAGAACTCAGAGGAAAGTGAATGTTCCTAGGTGGTCAGTGAAAACTTCCTAGGAAAAGTGAAACTTAAAAGTGGAAAGTGAAGAGCCAGAAAGGAGAAGAGAAATCCTAGCCAGGGAGAAGGGCACAGAGGTGAAATAACGAGAAGAGCCAGTGAGCTGGCACAGAGCATTCGCAGTAAGAGGTAACGTTGGAGAGGTGGTCTAGGTCTAGGACAAACTACTGAGCCCCTGAACATCAGGCAGAGTTTGAAGTTCATCTTATAGGCAACGTGGAACCATGGAAAGTTCCGAGCAGGGTGAGACTAGATAGTAACCAGTGAATATATTAAGTTGTACCTACTGTGTCTGCATTTATTCTCCTTCTCCACCCCAGTAAGGTTATAGCAAGCGCTCTTCCACTACAGGCAAATCCTTGTCTAGTACTGTCTCTCCCTCTGCCCTTTCAGGAATAAGCAGTTTCTCTCTTAAAAGAGAGGAAAAAAAAATCTAATTTCCCTGGTTCTAGCCACTTTATTAAAAGACAAACCATTCTAATTCCCTTTTTTTTTTTTTTTTTGGTACTAGGAATTGAACTCATGACCTTACGCTTGCCAGGCAGACGCTGCGCCACTGAGCTATATCCCCAGCCCCTAATTCCCATTTTAGCAGTGAAATAGCTTTTACAGAGGGCACAAAAGGCTCCCAACGTACACTTTTTCCAATTGTTTTTCTCAGCACTGTGTGACCATGATGCTGACCTGCCGACCCGCCTCCTCCTTGGAACGTCCTTTCCCCCAGCAGTCTTGGGTTTCACCCTGACCCCACTGGCCACTCCTGTTCAGTCACCTCCTCCTCTACTACCTTCCAACTGTAGGGAGGTCATCAAAGCTTACACATAACCTAGTTCTCTTTTATTCTTCCTGGAAGTCTTATTTATACCCACGTCCTCCATTTCCACCTACATATTCGCATGTCTCAAATTTCTGTCTAGCACAAAGAATTAAACTCCATGCCCTTGTATCCAACTGCTTACTCAACATTACCACTTAGCTATCCAAAAGATAGCTCAAATTCAAGGCATCATTTCCCTCCTTACTGTGCCCCAAACCCTGGTCTTCCTGTGGCATTCCCATCTCAGGAAATGGTAAGGTAGTTACATAAGCCACAGGTTTGAGGAGCATTCTTGAGACCTCCCTCGTCCTCACTGTTGCCCAATCAGTGCTCTGAATGCAAATTCGATCACTGTCCCTTATCTACACCACTCTATTAAACAGCTTCTCTGCATTTAGAGTAAAATCCAAAGGGCACTCTGTCTCTGCCACTTTCCTCCAAGCTCCGCCCAAACTGAGCATTATCCAGTTCCTGGACCGTCAGACAGTCCACCCTACCTTAGGGCCATGAGACCTTCTACCTGCTCCTGCTTCCATCCACGCCAGTCAGTTTCACCTCCAGCATTCCCTGACCCTTCACTGTAATGCTGGTCCTCCTGCAGCAGTTCTTGGCTCTTCGTACTTGATCCTCAAAGCACTCATAAAATTTCTATTACATAATAATGTAGCGATTAGGTTAATGCTATTCTCTAACAGTAAACACAGTCTTCACAAGGCCAAGCTCTATCTATTGTGTTTACCACTGTCTTTTCAAAGTCTGCAGTTCCTCAGAAATAGTAGATACCTAATACATTTGTTGAATAAACATAGGTCATTTGAAGACTTAAACTGAAAAAACAAATAAAAGAACTGAGCAAAGGCTAGCACAGAATAAGTGCTCAATAATGTCACTTGAATATTAATTCGCACTAAACTCTTTTAATGTATGAATGAATAAATAGCACTTTCTCAAAAAGCTATCTCCATTTATTAGAAAGGAGTTAATCCAATATATAGCTTACTAGATAAACTCCAAGTAAGTTTATCCCTAGAGGATGTCTTGGCTTTTCACTATTTTCTCACTGTTTTGCTTCTAAGTTCCTAAAGTTGTATTGCCAGTTAAATGGTGGCAGCAGTAACTATGGGTGACAAGCAGCGGGGGAATAAGAAGTAGGGTAGCCAGTTACAAGTAAAATGTTCTTCAGTTAGTCTCGTGGAAGAAAAAAAACGACTCAAAGCGAATTCTAGTACTTGGTAAGGTGTCCTCAAGAATTATTTCTAAAACTTCCAATTCAAAAAGTAAATGCTCATATAGCAGAGGACTACTGCATATCAAGGTCCTCTTGACATATATGAAAAAGGGAACAGAGGAGAGGTAACTGACTTACTGAAGATCCATCCAAGGGAAAGCTACATGGGTCACCCTCCAACCTATTCCAGGCTGAGTAATCAATCTGTCACATAAGAGCTAAGGCTAGCAAATGTGTGTGTGTGCGCGCTGCCCAGCAGGGCTCACCTCCAACAATACTGGTGTTTTTAACAACCTCAGATCATCTGCCCACTACTTACGAGCTCTAATGAAGCCTGCCAGTTCATGTATCCAACTCCTAACACAAAGTTGTTCAATCAGCCCTCGCATTCAAGGGCAGCCTGCACAAGACAGCTATGTCAGTCATTAGTCATTCATTTTTAAGTACTGCTAGGTAACCAGACTCTTGCAGAAAACCAGCAATTCTTTAAGATGAGGATCAAGATAACACTGAAAGCAAAGATATGAATTTTTTATTACTATTCTTACAAGGATTGCTGAAAATACATACTGCAAACATTAAATAACACACAAAACAAAACATTAAATAACAGCATGTTATTTTCCAAAAACAGCAATGAAAGAACAACGCAAAGTTTATAGAATTAATCATTTAAGAGATAAAAACTAGCTTAACAAATATTAAAAAAGCAGCCCATGGAAATTAAAGTCACAATGGTCAATACATTTAAGATACCAGTAGCAATATCAGAAAATAAATTAAGGAACTCCCTAGAATGTAGAATAAAGAAAAAAATGTGGAAAACATAAAGAAAAGTTAAGAGATGCAGAAAAGTGGTATCCAAAGAGAATGGAAAGATGGAGGGTAGAATACATGTCACAGGAACACAAAGTGATACACTGGGATTCAAGAACAAAGAATCAAAACTTCTACATGCAATGTTTTTTATCCTTGAAGATTATGTGAGAGTAAATTTATAATGTAAGGGATTAATTACTACAAATATATATATATACACACACACACACACAAACACATGCATATATATGTATATGATTTTAAAATAAATGTATGTATACACATACTGGGTCCCTGAATACTGTTTTTTAACAGATGAAAGATACAAATCATATTTTGTAAATCATGGATATACAGGATCAATTTAAGAAGAGTACTATTCATTTAAAAGATGCAGAGAAAGAAAAAGAACAGGAAAATATCAAGAAAATAAAAAGGAGAAAAAATTTCCTGGAACCCAATGAAGATAGGAAAGGCTCACCAAGCGTCAAGCCAGATGACTGATGAAAAAGAAAAAGAAAATCCATGCCTAGGCCGTGTCCTGAGAAAGAATCAAGCCAAGCCAAGAATAAAGTCAAAATTCTAAAAGCTTACAAGAAGGGAAAAATAGACTTCTACATGCAAGTAAAACCAAAAGCCAAATGTGATCCAAAATAGTTCTTCTCCTAAGAAAGCTCCTACCTTGCTCATTAACCATCTCTTTGAAGCTACATATAATCTACTAATACATAATTTTTGTATTCATTCTACACAACTATTTATTGTATCCAAATAAATGTCGGTCAATGGTCTTACATGCTCACAAGCATGTGTTTATATATGTATGCCAAAACCACAGTATTCATATTTTCATCTGTTCAAGAGTAGGAAAGGAATTGTGTTCCTTCATAGCATGCAAAAAGACTAGGTAGAGCAAAAGACAAACTCCAGAGGGTGGGGCCTGTGATATCCCACATCTGCATTTCTTCTGCTAGCTAACTTGCGCTATCAGCATGAGACATTTTAAAGCTACGATTCTATGAAATCCATAGTGACTTCAGAAACAATTTAGCCCAACAGCATCCAATTGAATAAAGAAAAATACTAATTTTAAATGTTTGTAAATTCAATTCTAAATCTTTCCTACATGTTCATTTCTCCAACACAGTATTTTCCTCAATCTTTTCTCCTTTTTTATGTAAAGAAAATTAAATGTTTTTCTCATTAAATACTGAGAGGCAAAATCAAAGATTATAAATAACTTGCTTCAATGTTGAGGGCTGAGGAGTTACTAGAAAATTAAATTCAACAAGATTAAAATAACTACGATTATTCCATTTCACTAACATTATAACTATTGTATCTTACCCAGTTTTGCATTTGGATTCCTGTTAACTTTCACAGATCAAATGGATTCCTTCTTTATAAATGTTATACATTATCTACATCATTTTGCTTTTGTAATTTTTGTTTTTTGGTGGGGGAGTCTGAAACAGGATCTTGTTATATGTCGTTCAGGCTGACCTCGAACTCACTGCCATCGTCCTGCCTCAGCCTCCCCAGTGCCGGGATTACAGGTGTATTCCACTGTGTTCCGCTACACCATTTTAAAAGTTCTGAACAAATTCAATACAGGAACACTGCACCGGTGTTGAGGGTTCAGGTGGAGTTCAGATGTAGAGTTAATTCGGGGAAACCTAAGTTTTTCCAATCTTACCTGCTACATAACACTTCCTATCAAATGCCTGCAACAGCGAGTTAAACTGGGAGATTATCACAACAAACCGCCTCTGAGGATAAAATCAAATTTACTACTATCGAAATGCGAACAGCAACCCACAGAAATAAAAAGATCTGTACAGTATGACTTTCTATTTAGAGTTAAACCAGGCCAGGGCAACAATGACAGAGCGATCAGGCAGACGAGGTGTCACATTCGCCCCTTGGCATCAAAAAGTCAGTCTCCTCTGTACCCTGCTTCGAAGAGGGCATCTCTGAACATCACCTCTGACACCGTGTGCGTCACCGCCCTAGATCTGACTCCAATCAGGGCCAGGGGTACAGAGAGGGCCTCGGATCAGGAGAGGAGCCCGGGACCGCGGGTGCAGCGTGCACTCCCGAGGGGGGAACGAGAGAGGCGAAATGCACGGTGGGCGACAGTACGGACAGGGCGAGACCGGGCAGAGGAGGTGGGGAACGCGACGGAGACATCAGCGAGGTCACCAGGCGGTAAAGCGCAGGGACGAAAGGACAACAGAGCGGGAAGAACAGACACAGGCGTCCGCAATCTTCCAGAGGGGCAGGCGCAGGGACAAGCGCTCCGCAGGCAAACCCAGTCGGGTTCCCGTCAGCTCTGGGTCCTCGAAATAGCCGGGACCCCTTCAGCAGCCCTCCGGGGGGCCCTGAGAACCATCTGCCCTAGGCGGAGGCGGCCACGGGCCAGCCCCGTTCTCCAGAGCGCTGGGGGTAGGAAGTAACGGGGCCAGGTCGGAGCCCGTACTTACCAGGCCACGGCGGCCCGACGCAGGCGCCACATCCCGCCGGCGGAGAGGTCACACTGGCGCCAAGACGGCCACGTGGGAACCCCGGTGTGAGCCCCAGTCCGGCGCCTACTCTAGGAGTGACCCAGGAAGAGGCCCTCGGCAACAAGGGCACCGAGCAGCCGCCGAGGCGCTCCCAATGGCGATTAGACTTCCGCAAGAGCCTGCCCGGCACCCGTACTCAGTCCGTCACTGAAACCACCACCCCACTCCTCCTAGGCGGGGCAGCACAAAGGGCCCGCAGAGAATGACCGCATGCGCCCAGAGTGTGCTCCGCCTCTGCGCCCGCCTCTCTCGCCTTCATTGTTTCCGGCTTGGAATTTTGAACTGAAACTTGTAGGGTTAAAGATTTGGAAACCCGAAGGACAGAGAGGCGGAACCTGGTGAAGGACGAGAATTCTGGATTGATGAATGCACACTGGAGGCGACTGATTTAGTAAGATTTAGGTAACTAGGGAGCATGAAGGAGCTTATAGCATAAAATGAGTACAAAAATTAATAACTGAATAATGTTATAAAAACTGGTCCGTTTGGCTCACTCTTGGTGCTCGTCTTTAAAAGCACTTTAATGTGCTTGGAAAAATCAGGGTGTAAGAAGGGGAGTCATGGATAGTTAGATGCCTTAGAATCTTTGCTATCAGACCAGAGTGGGACTTAGGTCATTTAGGGCAGCTATAAGTTTGGAATGAGCGTGTGGCGTTTATAAAGGTGTAATGGGTTACTCTGAATGAAGAACCGAGACCAGAACCCAAATTGGAATTTTAAGAGCCTTTATTAGCCGGGCCGACGGCTGTCAGTCTGTACTCCACGCAGGGAGATGCTGAGCAGCCCCGACCCGAAGAATGTGTGAGCTTTTAAGCTTGAAATCCACATCCTGGTTGGTGCAGGTGAAAAAATTTTTTGCAAGGGGAGAAAGCGGAACCTATCGGTTTCAGCAAGCAGATGTTGCAAAGTTCAGAACGTTCTCAGAAGCATATATTTTTTCTCAAACTAAAAAGAACAATCAAGCACAGTGAACAATCGAGCACTTTCTTTTTCTTGGGTCAAACTGACATTTTTTCCTCCACCTAATAGCCCAGTAATTTTTCATCCGTTTTATGTGTTCACCAATTATGTGTTCACCACAGAGGTATCAAAATGACTTTTTTTTTTTTTCCCTCTTTTTTGAGGCAGGGTCTCTCTATGCAGTTCAGGCTGGCCTTGAGCTCACTTTGTAGCCCAGGCTGGTCTCGACCTCGCAACGGTCCTCCTGCCTCAGCCTCCCGAGTGCTGGGATTACAGGCGTGCTCCACCACGCCGTGCTCAAAACGGCTTTGCTCCTTCGCTCTTGCGGCTTTCATCTGAATTTTAATCGCATCAATTTGTTGAAATGGCCCTTGTCAAGGTCACATTTTTATACTGTTAGTGGTCAATGTCTTTTCGGTGACTTAATCTACTCTAGCTTTCAGAATATCGTGTTTTCTTTCTTTCTTTCTTTCTTTCTTTCTTTCTTTCTCTTTCTTTCTTTCTTTCTTTCTTTCTTTCTTTCTTTCTTTCTTTCTTTCTTCCTTCCTTTTTTCCTTTCTTCTTTTCTTCCTTCCTTCCTTCCTTCCTTCCTTCCTTTTTTCTTTTCTTTTCTTTTCTTTTTTCTTTTTTTCCCCTACAGGAGCGACTAGTGTGCAGTCTCTTGCTGTTTACTTCTAACCAAATATCTCAGTCTTGGAGCGTCCCTCACCTTCAGCACAGCGGATCTCTTCTCTTATCTAGTGACATTCCCTAAATCATCGTGCAACAGTTGCGTGATTGTAAATATCATTTTTCTCTTCTAACTCAGCCACTACATATTTTACGAGGACCTGGCCCGTAAAGAGGATGTGGCCTGTGAATGTCGATGGAACTAATTGGTGGCCTTAGCCAGAACTAAAATCAGAGTGTCTTGTCTTGGGCCTTATTTTCTACCTCAAGGGTAAATCCCACTTGCCCAGACGGATACACAAAGTGCACAATTCCTTTTTCCTTAACTGTCAGTATCATAAATCCAGATCCATCCTCTCAGAAAACCGTCAAGTGTGGAGAAAGTCTATACTTCGATGAAAAGTCAACTTTCCAAATGCAGGACTCTGAAAATTTATTTATTTATTGTGGTGACTGTTCAGTGCCTGGTCCAGGTAAGGATTTGCTATACTGACAGTGCAAAATGTAGATCTTTCTACGGTTGCAGATTTGTACAGACATTTGTTACTGTTACTTCCTAGTTATTTCAGAAAGTAAAAAAGATAAATAACTGCTTTCACGGTAGTGAAAAGATAAATAACTGCTTTCAAAGTAGTTGTTTGACAGTTCCACTTTTTTGGGCAAGGACCTATGCATGATGATGTTTATGTCTCCTATGATATGAAGTAGTAAAAAGTTTGGAGTCAACATAAATATCCACATGTAGGAGCTAGAAAATAAATTATATTCATGCTAGCCATCAAAGCCTATAGATTAGTTCTCTGTGTCCTCATAGGGAATAATCTCTGATACAGATGGTCCCTAATTTACAATAGCTCAATTTGGGATTTTTTTGACTTAACAATGGAACTAAATCAATGTGCATTCAGTAGAAACTGTACTTTAAGTACTTATACCTGCTTTTCACTTTCAGTATTCAATAATTATATAAAATAGGCTTTGTATCAGATGACTTTGCCCAACTGTAGACTAATATGAGTGTTCTGAGCTCATGTAGGTGAGGTTGAGTTACCCTGTTTGGTAGGTTAGGTGTATTACATGAATTTTTGACGTGATCCTTTAAAATTACGATGGACTTATCAGAGTGTAGCCCCATGCAGAGTTGAGGAGCACCTATATTATCTAGGGGAAAAGAGTAGATTATTTTGCCGCCAAATTCAGCGCATAGATTTGTTTTCTTTGGCTTACACCGTGCTTGCCTACACAGTGTTTTAAAAAATAATACTAAATTTGTCACTGACATTCAAAAACTGAGACATTCCACATTTAAAAAAAATCTGATTTCTCTTAAAATATTGTGAAACCTTCTTTCTTACAGGCAAAAAAAATTCCTTGGAGGCGAACTAAGGCTTTTCTCCTTCAGACATCCACGTCTTCTGTAGTAGTTCATACTCTTTCCTAAAAAGTTCATGAAATTGGAGACATTAATTGATATTTATCATGATGTTGGTGTTTTTATTTAAAAAACACAAGGGGGAAGGGACCCATTACTTATATCAAACGGGAGAAAATGCTAGCCTGTGAGGGTCAGGTGTTTCCAAAAACAATGAAAATTGTTTTCTCCCGCAGAAACACAACTGTGCAAGTAAGTTATGTGATTTTTGAAAGAATACATGTTAACATGGTATACAACCAACACTGCTGCGTTATTTGTGTTACCTACCTGACCCAGGAGAGTACTGTGTTGATAAGCCTGACTGAGGCAAAGGACTGGGCAGGATGGTGATTCATAAGTAGGAAGGAGAATTACCTGTATTGTAAACCTTTTTAAATTATCTGAACTTGACCACATGTCTTATTTACAGTAAGACAGTAACTAAAATATTCTGGTCTTGAGTCATGAAATAATTGTACTATTTTAAGTTAAAGTCTCAGGTTCGTCTAGGGACCCGTGGGAGTTGGTGGTATCTCAGTGGTCCCCGGGAGAAAACGGTGAGAGGATTTAGAAAATAAGGCTGGGGTCAGGTGGAGTTACCTCTTGCCTGATGAGTACGAGGACTGACCTCAACAGTAGGGACGTTTATTTTATACATTTGCAAAGTAGTATCATGAGAGATATGTTGCCTAGCAACTAAGACTAAGACTCAGACTGTAACTGTCCAAGCAGGATACTTTTTTCAATACTGAGGTAGCGTGACTGCCTGAGGCACTCTGGCTGTGTCCCACCCTCACACACATGACCCAACGACCCACTCCAGCATCTCCCAACAGGGATCAAGCAATCCACCAGTTAAAACACTCAAAATATTTACTTTGACAAGCAAAGCAACACATTTTAGTTATCCAATGGACCAGGAATCTTCTGAAAAGGAGGTAAAGAGATACTAGTGGAAACTGAAATATTTGTTTTCATCAGACTTGTATTTAAAGTTTTATAATAAAATTATTTTCAAATATCTTCCTGGAAGATGTCCAAATTCCATGATGCTGTGCTCTTCCTCCGAAGTTTCCTGGAGAAGGAAACAGCTGAAGTCACATGTATTTACATCATCACTGTCATCATCATCATCACATTTTTCCTTAGTGCTCAGGAAAGCATGTTCTAATCCTCATCCACAAACATTTCTAAATCACTTCCTGTGAACACTGTCGGGTGATATAAAAAGTGAAGGATGGTGAGAGACATATTCATAACAAGCAGATAAATATCAATGTGAACTGTACACTGTGGTCTAATAAGGTTAGCAGGAGTACTGTACCTCCTTATAGGGAGGGTGAAAGTGTAATTGAGTGGGCTGAAGAAAGATAATTCTGGAAAATCAAAAAAGAATGAATATGTAAAGAAGGATGTTGAGGGTCAGGAAGACTGGGCGGGGAGCTACTGAGAAGGTCAGGTATGAGGGGTCTGAGCTAAAGTCTGGCAGCCAGAAGAGGTGACATTATTTGAAAGGACATTTGTATTTGAAGCAATGGAAACTGAAATGCAAGATTTAGGGATAATAATCAAAGACAACAAAGTTGTCGCACTATCATGAATCATTTTAGGTATAGTTACATAAGTAGAGAAGCTGAGCACAAGGACAAGCACAGAGAGGATCGCAATTATTGGGTTATTGACTAACGCTGAGGTGTTAATGAGTTATACAATCTTGGATCGGAACTATGAGCAAAATAAAACTCCTTTCCCGTAAAGTTAGCCTGCCTCAAGTACTTCATTTTAGTAATGGAAAACGGACTAGTAGATTCTCACAACTAAGTAATAATATGAATGGTTCAATAAAAAAAAAAATGGACCAAAAAATCAGACATTGCATAAAAGAATATGCACATATTGGCAAGGAAAAATGCTCCATTGTATTGGTTATCAGGGAAATGAGAATTAGAACCACACTCTTCACTAAAACTACTAAAAACAAGTCTCACAATTCTAACTTGAGGAGGATAGGGAGCAACCAGCCGTGTCAGTCCTTATGGTGGGACTGTAAAATGTCACAACCACTTTGGGAAAATGTCTGTCAGTTTTTAAAAAGATTAAATATCCACTTCCCCTCTAGGC